AACGTTTGGGGATCAAATAACGACGCAGTTCATTTGGAACATAGAATGTGTAAAGGGGAGAAATGTGAATTAAGGCTGGAAAGGTGGGCTCAGCTCTCATTATAGAAGGCCTTAAATAGCAGGCTAAGGTATTTGTATTGTAAGCCCTTGAGCAGTAGGGAGCCAGTGAAGGTGTTTGAGTAGGGGAATGATGTGGTCCTTTGGTTACTGTGTGAAGGATGGACCAGAAGAGACTGGAGGCAGGGAAGCCAATTTGGGAGGCCATTAGAGTAATGAAGATGAGTGGCAATGAAAGGGTGTGAGATGTACTGTGCATATGGAATTGAGGGTACCTGGCGACTGATTGGATGTGGAGGTGGGCTAGCAGTGAGAGAAGCAAAGAGTCAGCGATTACAGCAAGGTCTTAATCCTGATCGACTGGAAGCATGGTGGTGCCCTCTCCAGAAGGAGGGCATTTGCGTGGAAGGGCTGAAGACGATGAATTCTGCTTGGACCATGTCAAATTCAAACTTTTCTCAGGATCTGATAGAATGTCAACTCCTTGAGGACAGGGACTGTTTGGTTTTTTTGTCTTTGTTCTCAGAGTCTAGCATATTCTCACCTCGCACATAGTAGGTGCTTAATAAATGCTTGATGGTTGATTGATTGACTTAAATGTCTGGTAGCAGTTGGTGATGCTAACGCTCAGTGAGAAAGATTCAAGTAAGCTGTAGAGATTTGGGAGTCATCTGCCTGGAGATTACTTTGTAATTGAATTCACAGAGGCAGTTGGTAGCTCAGCGGATAGAGTGCTGGGCCTGGAATCAGGAAGGTCTGAGTTCAAATCTAACCTCAGACACTTATTAGCTGTGTGACGCTGGTGGACAAGTCACTTAACCTTATTTGCCCCAGTTTCTCATCCATAAAATGAGCTGGAGAAGGAAGGGGCAAAACCACTCCAGTTTCTTTGTCAAGAAAACCCCAAATGGGGTCAGAAAGAGTTAGACATGACTGAAATGCCTGAACAATGGTACTCGGTATAGTGGTTGAGATAAATGTTTATTGATTGATTAAACATTTATTCGTGGATTGATTTAGTCAATAAATAAACATTTATTGAATACCTATGTGCCAAGAAAACCACAAATGGGGTCACGAAGAGTTGGACATGACTGAAAAACAACAAAAATGTGCCCAGCATTGTTTATCGACTGATGACCAGCTTCTATAGAGGTGTGAGGTCAGAAGCCAGCTTTCCGGGGTTGAGGAATGAATGGGGAGTGAGGAAGGGAAGCAGGAGGAAGAGGGGAGATAGTAGAGTTTACCAGTGCATGAATAGAGGATGATACTTTGAATGGATGGGTAGGACCAAGAGAATTTTTAAAAAGTATTATGGACTGGGGCAGCTAGGTGGATAGAGCACTGGTCCTGGCGTCAGGAGGACCTGAGTTCAAATCCAGCCTCAGACATTTGACATTTGCTAACAGTGTGACCCTGAGCAAGTCACTTAACCCCATTGCCTAGCCAAAAAGGAAAAAAAACAACAACAAAAATCACAGTTAAAAAAAAGTATTATGGATCCCTGAGCATGTTTTTAAAAAGAAAGCAAGGAACCAATAATACAAGTGTGTTTCACACATAAAAGCTATGTTCCTGAAATAGAATGACTTTAATTATAGACCACTAAAGGAACCTTTTTTGTACATCACGTTATTATAATGTAAAAACTACATTCTAATCTTATCTGTCCTAAGTTCAGATTTTCACTGTTAGTTCTGAGAAAATGAGATGTAATCTGGATCTCTTTAAAGACAAGAAAACATCACGCCAAATATATATTTGTATACACGTGTGTGTAATATATGTAGAGAGATAGAAATGTAGCTATAGCTATATTCAACTGGGTCAGAATATTTAGATTGTCTCTTTTAAATAATATGCTGTTAATCTATTCCTCATATTAGGGAAAATTTTCACCTCAGGTAATGATAATAGTCTATTTTACAACAATACTGTAACAAAGCACCACAAAGCTGGTAAAAAGAGATAGATTGAAGATGATGAAGGGAAGGGAGAAAGAGAATATGAGAATGATGGGGGGGAGGGTCAGTTCCTAAAGGAGACTGGAAGGGATGTGGTCAAGGGCACAAGAGGGTTAGTCTTAGTAAGGAGAACCGCCATGTACCCGGAGCCTGGAGAAAGGGAGATAGGGATTGGTGAAGATGGAAGAGTTTGAAAAGAAGATGAGGCAGTTTGAACTGGCCTCGTGGTTCTCTGGGAAGTAGGAACTGATCTTTACTGAGCTATTGGGGAGTGAGATTGGAGTTGGGGGATTGGGACAACAGCTATGGGAGTAGAGCATGATAAGAGAGATCATGGATTCATAGATGGAGGGCTGGAACAGACCTTAGAAGTGGTCATCTGGTCCAACACCCTCATTTTACTGAAGAGGAAACCTAAGACATAAAGTAGTGCAGTGACTTGCCCAGGGTCATATAATTAGGAAGTATCTGAGACAGGATTCAAACCCAAGTCTTCCTGCCTCTATGGCCTGCACTCTATCCACTACACTAAACATTTGCGAAGCACTTACTATGTGCAAGGGCTGGGGATTAAAAAAAAAGTCAGACAGTCTCTGCCCTCAGGGAGTGCACACTCTAGTTGGAGGGGGGGGTGGGGCAGGGCAGAACAACACACAGGAAAGCCACACGTTTCAGCCACAAGTCATCTGGAAAGGTGCCAAGGCCTCTGGTGACAAGAACTTTCTTTTCTGGGTCTTCAAAACATGTGGTTATGGCGCATACAGGAGCAGTTTCTGAGCTGCCTCCCCACAGGGTAACTTCCCAGGATGATGGCTGCAGAGACCAGGCTGGAAGCCTGGCTGTTCCCAAGGCTCTTGGGCTCTAGGTCCCGGACCATTTTCGTCAGGGTCCAAGAGGCCTTGGTGGCCAAGGTGATGGTGGGAGATGGTTTGACTGGATAAAATTGCTAAATTAATAATCAATAGATAAAAGGAGATCCACCCAGGGCGAGGACTCAGTTGAAGTCATATTTCTTAGATTGTATCAGGTCTTACCTGTAGGGTTTGTGCCATCCTCTCTTAATTATCTTCTCTTTCTCCTGTTTATACTTTGTACATAGTTGTGTGCATGTTGTCTCACTTATTAGACTGTAAGGTCCTTGAGGGTAGGGATGGTTTTTTGCCCTTTTTTGTATCCTCAGCACTTGGCACAGTGCCTGACAGATTAATTAGCAATGGTAGAAATTGAGAAGGCAGGGGGCAGCTAGGTAGCGCAGTGGATAGAGCACCAGCCCTTAAGTCAGGAGGACCTGAGTTCAAATCTGGCCTCAGACCAAACACTTAACACCTGCTAGCTGTGTGACCCTGGGCAAGTCACTTAACCCCAATTGCCTAAAAAAATAAATAAATAAAATTGAGAAGTCAGAGGTTAAAGATTGTCAAGATGTAATGAGATCAAGAAGTATGGCTAAGTGAAGAGAGTATTGGATTTGGATTCAGAAGACCTGGGTTCAAATCTTGCCCTAGCACCTTAAGCAAATCATTTCCCTCCTTTAAACACCTCAGTTTTCTTGTCTGTAAAATGAGGGAGTTGGTCTAGATGACCTTCAAGACACCTTCTGTCTCGAGATCTATAATCCTATGAACTACTTGTGACCCATGGTAGCTGTGATCCTATGAATTTACCTGTGGGTAAATCACTCTCCCTTTCTCAGCCTCAGTTTCTTCATCTCTAAAATGTGGACATGGAATTCAACTCCAAAGTCCCTTCCAGCTCTAAGCCTGTGTCTCCATGGATAGGATTGGGGCAGAGTAAAAAATGAGGCTGTAGCTTTTTCCACCACCCCCACCCCACCCCGCTCCAGCCATGACCATTTGACCTCCCTGCTTTTTCAGGGCCTACTCGAAAGACAGTGAAAGCAGCTGGTTTCGTTCCCTCTTTGTCCACAAAGTGGATCCCCGGAAGGATGCTCATTCCACCCTCCTCTCAAAGAAGGAGACCAGCAACCTGTACAAGATTCAATGTGAGTGTCTTCCCCCTCCCCTCCCGTTATTCCTCATCTTTTTCCTTCCCTTTATTTTCCCTCCTTATTGGTGTCTAATAGGTTCTTTTTCCAGGGAGCAGGCAGAACCTTTGGCCTTGACTCAGACATAGGAGTAAATACAATGTTATTTTTTAAGGCTGACACATGTCTACTATGTTGCTAAGAAGCAGCTCAGTATATTGACTCCTGCCCTTGCCGTCAGGAGGAGATGGGGTTCAAATCCTGCCTGAGCTATACTGAATGTGTGACCCTGGTCAAGTCACTTTCAGGCAGCTTTCTAGGACTATGAGTTGTCAATTGGTATCAGTGGAGTGCTTCCACTCTGGGAGTCTCCTATACTGATAGAATCAATGTGTCTTGACCACCCCTCTCCTGACAAATAACAATGGCGTGTGGATCTTCCCCTAAAGCCTTCCTCTGCCTGAACTTGGCTTGATGGGGACCCTGAGCTTTGGAAGGCTAAGTCAGTCGTAGGTTAGCTCTGCTAAGTCTTACCAATCATTTAATTAGAAAGCATTTATTGAGCACTTATTATGTGTCAGGCACTATTCCAGCCAGGAAAGTCTTTGGGATAGGCTCAGTGTCTACTATGTGCCAGGCACTATGCCAAGTAATATGGATACAAAAAGAGGAAAAAGGACAGTCTCTGCCCTCAGTAGCTCACAGTAATGGAGGAGACAACATGCAAACCAGCTATAACAGGATAAATAGGAAATACTCAACTGAAGGAAGGCACTGGATTTTAGAGGGGTTGGGAAAGCTTCCAGTAGAAGGTAGAGATTTTGAAGGAAGCCAGGGGAGCCAGTAGAGTGTGGAGATGAAGGAGATCATGCCAGGTATGGGGGACAGCCGCATAAGATTCCCAGAGCTAAGACATGGAGGGTCTTGTTGTAGAATGGCCAGGAGGCCAGTATCCCTGGATATAAGAATATGTGTCAGGGAGGATGGTGTAAAAAGACTGGAAAGGGAGGAGGGGGCCAGGTTATAAAAGGCTTTAAAGGCCAACCAGAACTTTTTGTATTTGCTCCTGGAGGTGATAGGGAGTCACTGAACTGTACTGGTAGGGTTGGGTGGTAGGGTGATACTTGAATGAATGAATTAAAAAAAAAAGCACATTTCTTTTTTTTGTTTGTTTTTTGCTGAGGCAACTGGGGTTAAGTGACTTGCCCAGGGTCACACAGCTAGTATGTGTCAAGTGTCTGACATCACATTTGAACTCAGGTCCTCCTGACTCCAAGGCTGGAGCTCTATCCACTGCACCACCTAGCTGCACCAAAAAAAAAAAGCACATTTCTTAAGCACCTAGCTAGTAGAGATACAAATATAAAAAGAAAGACAGTCCTTGTCCTCAAGGAGCTTACATTCTAAACAGGAGAGACAACACCAGACTCTGGTTCCATGGCAGGTAGAAAGGCCTGGAAGTCCTGAGATGCCTAAGTTGGCCCAATAGCTGAGCTAGGGGATGGTAGGGTATTGAGGCAGAGCGAAGGGTGAGAAATGGTGGTCCTCCATCTCATCCAAAGGCATGGAGATGTTGATTCCCATCTCCTCCAAGGCCAATGAGCAACTAGCCGAGTGGCCCAGGTGAAGAGGGATGGCAGTGGCAGAGGGTACCTCCTGTAAGCCAGGCCAGGTACGCAAAGACCAAAGTGAGACAGTCATGGAATTAAGATTTAGATCTGGAAAGGACCAGAGAGGTCATTGAGCCCCACCCACTCACCCCCATCCCCACAATCCCCCATCATGTTACAGAGGAGAAACATGAGAAGTGATTTCCCTGAGGTCCCACAGATGGCAAATGTCTAAGATGGTTTTTGACCCCAGGTCTTCTTAATTCCCGTCTAGAACCATATCTGCTCAGTATACCACAGAACCATCCCTGCCCTCAGGGAGCTTATATTCCTTCCACTGATATAATCATTCATAGTCTTTATTGCCCATCACTTGTTATAGATCAAAGCCTCCCTACTCTCATCACTGCTTGTCTTTTCATTGCCCTTTGGGACATCTGCAGTTCTGAGGCTCCAGAACTCACTGTCCTCCATGGTCGCCACTGCTGAGCACCACCAGAAGAATAGTGGTGTTAGAAAGAAGGACTTTCTCATTAGGGATGAGAGTGGACCCACCGGGAGCTTGGAGGGCAGGGAATGCTGGATTGTTTTTTGTCTTTGTACCTAGTCCTAAGGCCAGGGCCCATTCAGTTTAATCAACATTTTTAAGTACCTACTATATGCCAGGCACTGTACTTAGGTTCTGAGAATACAAATAAGAAAAAGAAAGATAGCCCCTGTCTTCAAGGAGCTTATAATGTAATGGAAGAAGACAATACACCCAAGGAAGCTGAAAAGAGGGGCGAGGGGCCACCGTGGTGTCCCTAACGGTGTAGGGGGAGGATGTTCTGTGGAATTGAAACCAAGCGGAGCTGTTGATGGAAAATGGAGAGTTACCTATTAACTACAAGCTCCACATGTAGCAGGTGCTTCATGACTATTCACTGATTGCCTAATTGTGGAATTACCCAGAAGGAAGTCAGGTAGTCCTAGTTAACAAATGTGAGAGCTGGAGGGGCCCAAAGGGGGCACTTGTCCAGGAGTGCTGGGTGTGTAGCCCGCTCCTTCTTTCCAGTATAAAGGCAAGAATAATCACTTCCCTTAAGGAGCTCACAATGTAATGGAAGCAACTAGATCTCTCAATGGATAGAGCACCGGGCCTGGAGTCAGAAAGACCCTAGTTCAAATCCAGCTTCAGACACTTACTAGCTGTGTGACCCTGGGTAAGTCATGGCAGCTCTGCCTCAGTTTCCTCATCTGTAAAATGGAACACAATGCAATAATAACATTTACTTCCCAGGGTGTTGTGAGGACACTAAGTCTTGGGGGTGGTGAGTGGAGCCTTAGTCGTTGTGTCCATTTTTATGGAAGCAATTTCTTGTTCTCTCTCCTGGCCTCCCCTCCATGCCTTTTCTAATAATAACAGCCTGTTTACATAGGACCTTAAGCTTTGCTAAGCCCTTATATGTTATCTCATTTTATCCTGCATAATAAAAATAATTTTAATAATCCTAGCCAGCATTTATTTGTATGGTGCTCTGAGGCATGTAAAATTTTACATGTTATCTCAATTGATTTGATTTTTAATATTTATTTGAATGTTTTGGTGGATGGTTATTTGGTTTACATCTTTTTAGAGAGCAATATGTAAATCAGAAATTCTCAGTTTTGATTAAGGCTTAGCAAGCATTGCTTTAGGCAAATCCGTTTGCGTCTGTGGGTCTCTGCACAGATGGGATAGATGGGTGGCCTCGTGGTGTCCTGGGAACTCTACCAATATGAAATAATGATGATGAAAGCTAGCATGTATGTAGCCCCTACTATGTGCTAAACTATTTACAAATTGATCTCACTTGATCCTCACAACAACTGTGGCAAGTGAGATTATTATACCTTTTTTTTTCCACTGATGAGGAAACTGAGACATGTGACATTGATATAGTGCCCTAGGGTTCGCAAATTATTTCCCATACATCATCTCCTTTGATCCTCATGGGAAGTAGGCACTACTAATCTCTTGATCCTCATTTTACAAATGAGGAAACTAAGGCCCAGAGAGATGAAGTGATTCATAGCCAAGAAGTGTCAGGGATGGATTTGAACCTGGCTCTACTTGACTGATTCTAAGTCCAGTGCATTCTTGCCTCTAAATTTCAGGCTATTTCTTCTCTCCCCCTTTCCCAAATCACCCCCTCTGGATCTCTGTCCCTGTTCACCAGAGCCCCAGTATAACTGGTTCTTCTCTGATTGGCTTATTACAGTTCACAACGTGAAGCCAGAGTGCCTGGATGCCTATAACAGCCTGACGTGAGTCTTCTTCTCTTCTTTTGTTCTTTTGGCCCTGGTGTGGCAAAGGCACTCTGTCCATTATCATGGCCACTAAGCCCACCTTCCAGTGCTGAGCCTTATCTCCAACCTCTTCTTGCTACCACATTGTTTCAATCCAACCAACCAAAGTTTATAAAGTCCCTCCTGTGTGCCAGGCACTGGGCAGGGAGTTGGGGATACAAAGACAAAAGTATCCAAGCAGTCCCTGCCCTCAAGGGGCTTACATTCTATTGAGATGAAACATGTATCTGCCTAAATGAAAACAAAATGGATACAAAGTAATTTCTATTGTATCGGGTGGGAAAGGATCATCCTCATGTAGCTGGCACTTGAACTGAGCCTTGAAGGCTCTAGAGAGCTTTCCAGCCATGGGGCACAGATACGGAGGCTGGAGATGGGATATTGTATATAAGGACAGGAAGGAGGCATGGTAAGGCGGGAAGAATATATTATCAGCCTAGTTAAGAAGGAAGAGAGGAGTGGGGGAAGAGATGAGGGCATAAGCAAAGGAGGAGAAAGAAAGAGAGGGAGAGGGAGGGAGGAGCAGGGGAAGAGAGGGAAGGTGAAAGAGGAAGGGAAGAGAGGAGAAAGAGAGGGAGAGGGAAGAAGAGGGAGAAAGACAGACAGAAAAGGAGAAAGAGGGAGAGAAGAGAGGAGAGAGAAAAGAAGAGGAAAGGAGGAAAAGAGGGAGAGACAGAATTCTAAATACCAAAAAAAGTACAAGTTTGCCCCTCTCCCCCAAAAAATCTGCATTTCCCTGACTAGAAAACCAAGGCTCAGAGAGGTGATAACCTATAATCTAAGTCGCCCAAGGTAGTAGAAATGGTAAAACCAGGTCTTCCATCATCTGGGATCAGGGCAGTTTCCTGTAGTCTTCCCAGGGCTGGATGGCTAAGAAAGTGGGAGAGGGGCTCCCAGCCTCATCCTTCTCTGACTAGGCTGTATACTAAGTGCCTGGGTAGAGAAAGCAAGGCCCTTACTCATCTTCATCTTCTTTTTGCTTTTTCCAGGGAAGCGGTGCTCCCCCAGCTTCACCTAGACCCGGACTATCCTTGTGCATTGGTGGGAAACTGGAACACCTGGTATGGGGAGCAGGACCAGGCAGGTGAGACCTTAGCTTTTGCCTGGAGGATCAGAACTAGTGCCTAGCTTCTTCAGACTTTCCTCTTTTGTCACCCCAGAACCCACTCCAATCTTCCCACCAGTGACCCTTTTTGCTCATTGACTGGGCACTGAACCCCCTTCTCTACCCCTGCCAGAGGAAACCCAGACATCACTCTCTACTTTGACCCTTCTCAAAGGCAGTGCATCCTATGACTCCCAAGCCTTGCTATCTGGACTGTAGTCACACTCTTAGGACCTCTGGTCCTTTCCCTCTGCCCTGTGGCCAGATTCTCTCACATGTATTATCTTCCTCTATGAGGGTAGGGACTTGTCTTGTTCTATTTGTATCCCCAACACTTAGCACAATGATTGGCACATAGTAAACCTTTAACAAATGCTTTTCATTCATTCATCCATCCATCATCCTCATTTTAGAAACTGAGTCCCAGAAGAAAGAGAAGCATAGAGTTTTAAAGCTCTCTGCAGTCATTTTTCAGTCATGGCCAACTCTTCATGACCTCCATTTTTGGGGTTTTCTAGGCAAAGACATGGAGTGGTTTGGCATTTCCTTCTTCAGCTCATTTTACAGATGAGAAAACTGATGCAAACAAGGTGAAGTGATTTGCCCAGTCACACAGCTTGTGTCTGAGGTCAGATTTGAACTCAGGAAGGAGTCTTCTTGACTAAAGGTCCGTTGCTCTATGCACTATGGCGCCACCTAGCTGCCCATTTTAATGCTAGAAGGAACCTTAGTGGTCATTGGGCCCAACCCTGTAATTTTACATAAGGAAAAACTGAGGTCCCCAAGGGTGAAGTTACTTGCACTCTTACTAGACTCAGAAATCATAGAGTTGGGATTTGGGGTGGTTGTGGGGCCAGTCAGAGGGTCATTTTAGAATCCCATGCCACCTCCAGATGTGGCAGAGAGAGGCCAAAGAAGGGGTAAAGATCCCAAATTGGCCACCCTTGGACCATGGGACTGTTTCTTCCCTCCCTTCTAAAATGTGGGAGACATATTTTGGTATGGACATTGATAAGTTAGACTCTCCACCAGATGGTGGCCAGGATGGGGAATTGATCCCAGGCAATGGGAGAATGTGTTGAAGGAACTCAGTGCGTATAGCATGGAGAAGAGACTCAGGGGAGACATGATCACTGGCTTCCGTTATTTTAAGGGCTATTATGGGAAAAGGAATTAGCTGTGTTGTGCTTGGCCCTCAAGGGAAGAACCAGTGGCAGGGGAGGAGAGTGCAAAGAAGCCAATTCTGGTTTGATGTCAGGAAGGCTCTCCTAACAATGAAAGCCATCTTCAGTGACGTGGCAAGTGGAGGGCATCCCATTATTGGAAGTCAGCAAAAGCTTGAAGAACCTTTGTCAGGGAAATTTGCTCTGTATGTATTCTGTGTGCAAGAGGCAAACCTACTAGAGAACTTCCTCGGGGTGGGAAGATGGGTTCCTGTCCCTCTTCTGACACCTCCTGACTTGTGACCAGGCAGGCAACTTCATCTCTCACTGTTCTAGACCAGAGGTATCAAACTCAGAAATAGGGACCATTGAACCATACACAAGGATTCTTGCTGGCTACATATTGACTTAGAAAACTGTGCAGCAGTATTTTGTCTATGTTTAGTTGTATTTTTAGGGACAGCTGGGTGATACAGCGGATAGAGTAGCAGATCTGGAGTCAGGAAGACCTGAGTTCAAATCCAGCTTCAGGCACTTACTAGCTGCATAACCCTGTGCATGTCACTTCACCTCATCTATAAAGTGAGCTGGAGAAGGAAATGGCAAACCACTCCAGCATCTCTGCCAAGAAAACCCCAAATGGGGTCACAAAGACCTGGACACAACTGAAAGACTGAACAAATTGTATTTTTATTTATTTTGTTAAATATTTCCCAGTTTCATTTTAATCTGGTCCCTGTGTTTGACACCTCTTCTATAGACAACTTTTTATGACCAAAAGTTGAAGAGAAGGTGCCCATCTCAGTGGTAGAGAGAGTTTCTTCATGTGGAACTTCCCTATACCAATGAAATCATGAGTCTGATCTCTACCTCTATTTATGCACATGTTGTTAAGTCCCTCAATAGAGTGTAAGCTCTTTGAAGGTAGGAATTGTTTCATTTTTGTCCTTATGGCTTAAATTTAAAAACATACAAACAAACAAAAATCTTTCCAAAGTGGACAATGGGCTGGCACATTTTTGTTGTTCGGTCATTTCAGTTGTGGCCAACTCTTTATGACCCCATTTGGGGTTTTCTTGACAAAGATACCGGAACAGATTGTCATTTCCTTCTCCAGTTCATTTTATAGATGAGGAAACTGAGGCAAACAGGGTTAAGTGACTTGCCCAAGGTCACACAGCTAGTAAGCGTCTGAAGCCAGATTTGAACTCAGGAAGATGAGCCTTTCTGACTCCAGGTCCAGCAGTGTATCCACTGCATCAGCTAGCTGCTCATGCCACCTAGCTGCGTAGGTCTTGCTGGCACATAATAGATCATTAATAAATGCTTGCTGAGTCATTGATGTTTTTAGAGGAAATTCTTATTCATGTCTGAGTTGGACTACATGACCTCAGAGGTTACTTCCAAAGCTAAGACTATGTGATTCCTTTATCCCCAGGGATTTCATAGAATCAGTTGATAGGGACCAAAAAAAGTTTCTCACATCTGAATCATGAGCCCCTACCTATAGTGTCTCTGAAAAGTGGTCATCCAGTCCTTGCTCTGCCCTTCATTTTTTAAAGTTTAATTTTAGGTACTTAAATGAAGGGCTTTGCAATGATCCCTAGTCTGTTTTATCTTGCCAGAGTGGCTCTGTGTTCCAGACAGCCAAGACAATTTTGAATCTCGATTCTGTCACTTATTGAATTAGCTGTTCTGCCAGCTTTGTGTCATCTGGAGATTTAGTAAGGGTCCCTTTTGTGTCTTTATTCACAGAATTTCAAAGTTTGAAGGGACCTCAGAAGGCATCCAAGCTAATCCATGCCCCACAAATAATCCTTTCTATAATATCCCCAATGAGGTCATTCAGTCTTTCCCTGAAAGCCTCCAGTGAGGAGAGGGAGCCCATTTCCCCAAGCTACTGGCTCCTTTTTTTGGATAGCTCCAATTGTTAGGAAGCTGAAATCTGCCTCTGTATAACTTTTACCTGATGAATGAATGAATAAATGAAAAGGCATTAATTAAGTACTTATGTACTGAGCCCTGTGCTAAGGGCTTGGAAATCAATCAATCAATTAGTAAGTATTAAGTATTAGTTACTTATTCTGTGCCATGCATATATTAAAAATTGTTGTACATGAGAGTTTGGGAAGAAGGGATACAAGAATAAAAGTAAAGATAGTCCCTGACCTCAAAGAACTTGCATTCTTTTTTTTTTTCACACAATTGGGGTTAAGTGACTTGCCCAGGGTCACACAGCTAGTAAGTGTCAAGTGTTTGGTCTGAGGCCGGATTTGAACTCAGGTCCTCCTGACTTCAGGGCCGGTGCTCAATCCACTGTGCCACCTCGCTGCCCCAAAGAACTTGGATTCTAATGGGGGACATAGCACATATAGGGGAGTGATGGTCAAATAGTAGGGGTGTTTTGATTTGGAAAATTGCAGGGGTGCTGAGTGGAGAAGATTAACCTGGCCTTTTCAAAACAGTGACAGAAATGATTAGATTTTCTTCCAGAACTGGAGGGTAAGGGGCTTCAGGGGATACAGCTGCAGTGTCATGGTACCTAATGAGATTATCTGAGAAAGCAGTGAGGTGTGGTTGGAGCCAGACCCCAAATACAGTGGGCTACTGAGGCAACCACCAATCAGCTATCATTCTCCAAGACAGAGATCCAGGAATGAAAGAGTTAAGTTCTTCAACACTTGGATTCTGGATTGCTCTGTATGTCAGCAGGCAAGATGGCTGGGGACTCAATTGTTTTCATAGTTCTGTCCCCTGGGGCTGAGCAGTACAAATCTAATCCCCCTTTCCCATGATTTGAGTGGCATTTGAAGGACAGACTTTGTTGTGTTCATCATCATGGGGACTAATTCCCTAGTCAAAGGAAAGAGAACTCATGAGGGTCACAGTTCAGGGAAGCTTGAGTCCCTGGGGTTGAAGATCGGGAAGGGATGGTCTGACGGGCCAAGGGAGCAGTATTTGTTTGACGTTGTATTTTACTTCTGTCTCCTCACAGTACATTTGTGGCGATTCTCAGGAGGCTACCCTGCCCTCATGGACTGCATGAACAAACTCAAGGTGAACAAGGTAATCAGTCAGTCAGCCCATAAGCATTTATTAAGCACCATGTGCCAAGCATTGTGCTAAGTGCTGTGTTTACAAACAAAAACAAAAACAAAAACAAAAGTAGCAATCATTATCATAACTCTTGAGTTTTAAAACAAATAATAACCTTGAAAAGGAAGTAAGTAGTGCTGGCATTGGAACCAGCAAGGACCTGGGTTTGAGTCCTGCCTCTCAGAACATATTACAGAATAGTTGGCAATCTGCATTAGTGGAAGAAAATTCTTCTTCTGGGAGTTCCCTAAACTGATGAAATCACAGGTTCTGACCAAATAAGAAAATGATACATTTAATAATTACCTAAGAAGCACATGTCATAGTAGACAGAGAGCTGGTTTCAGAGCCTCTGACACATACTGGTTTTGTGACTGTGGGCAGGTCACTTCTCTTTTCCTCCTATGTTTGTAGAAAGTTTTGTTGCCAATGCTGTTTTTACATTTTCATGTCTGCTGTTCCAATCCTCTCCTTCCCTTTTTTTTCTTTTTGCTTCTCTTCATTTCATACTGGTAATTTGGTTTTCTTTCTTTTTTAAAAATCAAGTTAACTATGGCTTATCTGCTTTATTATTATTATTAAATAACAGCTGCTAGTTTTATTAATTGAATGAGATTTTTGCTTTCAATTTTATTAATCTCTTATTTTCAGGATTTCTATTTTGGTGTTTAATTAGGAGTTTTTTGTTTTTTGTTTTTGCTGGTTTTTTAGTTTTTTTTTGTTGCGTGCCCAAGTTGTTGATCTACTCTTTCTCTTTTTTTACTGTTGAAAGTGTTTAGAGATATAAACTTTCCCCTAAGGACTTCTTTGGCTGTGTCCCCAAAATTTTGGTATGTTGTCTTACTGTTATGCTTATCTTTAAGGAAATTATTGATTGTTTTTGTGATTTGTTCTTTGACCTATCCATTCTTTAGGATTGAATTATTTAGTCTCTGGTTAATTTTTAATTATTTCATCAGCTGCCCTTCATTGAAAATAATTTTTATTGTGCTGTGGTTTGCCCTTTGTGGAATAAAATTATCCCTGTAATTCATTTATTTTTCCTTTAAGTATTTAGGTGCTATGCCATTCGGTGCATATATAGTCAGTATTGATATTAATTAATTGTCTATGGTACCTTTCAGGAAAATGTAGCTTCCTTGTTTGTTTCTTTCAATTAAATCTATTGCTGTCATTTTTTCTAAAATTGTGATTGCAGCCCTCTTTTCTGATTTCAGCAGAAACATGATAGATTTTGTTCTAGACCCTTATTTCAGGTTTCTGTATGTCTTTCTGTTTCAAGTATGTTTCTTCTAACAAGCACAGTTAGATTCTGCTTTCTAATCCATTTTGCTCTCTTCACTTTTATGGGTAAGTTCATTCCATTCACAGTTATGGTTATTAATTGTATATATCCTTTTATCCTATTCTTTTTTGCCTTTCCTTCTTTTTGTTTCCCATCCCCTCTTTAGAGTTTGTTTTGCTTAAGACTAAAACCTTCCTTAATCTACCCCTCCCTCAACCCTAACTCTACCCCTAACTTTTTACCTTTCTTTCCTATTAACCTGTTGAATGAAAGTACCAAACTGTTTATGTATTTCACCCTTTTTTGACTAGTTCATATGAGAGTGAGTTTTAAATGTTACCCACTCATGCCTATTCCTTCCTTCTTATTTGTATAGACTTTCACTTGTGTACTCTAATTAAGTGAGATAATTTTCCTCCTCCTTCTTCTCCCTTCTAACCTCCATGTATTCTTCCTCTTCTATTCTTCTTTTAAGGTCATCAAAACATAACAATCACTCCCAGGGCTTCTGTCTAATTAGAATCCTTTTATGACCCCTGATGATGATAAACTTCTGAGGGGATACATATTAGATGTAAACAGTTTATCTTTGTTTAGTTTATTATGATTGCCCACTCATGTTTACTTTTTGTATTTCTCTTGCCTGCTGTGCTTGTATTTCAGAGTTTTTACTCATTTTTGTTATTTTCATCAGGTAGGCTTAGAAATCCTCCATTTCATTAAAGGTTCATTCTTTTCCCCCTTCCCCATAGGATTATATTCAGTTTTACTGAATAAATTATTTTGGGCTGTAAGCCTATATCCTGTGCCTTTTGGAATATCATGTTGCAAACTCTTTGCTCCTTCATAGTGGTGGCTGCTTAGTCTTGTGATATTAACTGTTGCTCCTCATTGCTTCGATTCTTCCTAGATACTGGTAGTATTTTTTTCTTTGACTCAAAAACTCTGGATTTTGGCTTTGATATTTCTGGGAGTTTTAATTTGGGAGTTTCTTTTAGGAGGTAATTGGTGGATTCTTTTTATTGCTACTTTACCTTCTGGCTCTAAGAGATCAGGGAAATTTTGTTTTGTGATTTCTTGAAGTGTGATGTCTAGTCTTTTCTTTTGATCATGGCTTTCAAGTAGTCCAATGATTCTTAAGTTATCTCTCTTCTCAATCTGCTTTCAAGGTCAATTGTTTTTTTCTATGAAATACTTATATTACATTTTCTTTGATTTTTTTTTTCCCTAGTATTTTTCTTCTAATATTTTGTATTGTCATATCAGTCAGTAAGCATTTATTAAGCCTGTATTATGTGCCTACAGTCCCAGGCACTATGCCAGGTGCAGAGTCATTAGCTTCTGATTGGCCAGTTCTAATTTTCCGAGTTTTTTTTCTTTTGTTTGGGTTTTGTACCTTTTGTGCTAATCTGTTAATTCTCTTTCAAATATTTCTTCTATAGCTCTCATTTGGTTTTAAAAATCATTTTTAATTCTTTTAAAAACTTTTGTTTCATCTTTCCTAGGAATTCTCCTTAAATTTGTGTCTAAGCTGTGTTTTTCTTTGAGATTTTGCTCATAGATGTTTTGGGTCATTTTCTTCTTTGGATTTGTGTCTTGAGCATTCTTGTCATGATAAGAGCTTTTTATGGTGGGATTCTTTTTTTGTTTACTCATTCTTCCAGCCTCCTTCCTGACTTCAGAGTTGATAATGAAACTGAACCATATTCACTTGTGGGGAGAATATCTCAGTTGAGTTTATGTCCTTGAGTACTTCTGCTCCTTTCCTGGGGTATTGAATGTTGTGTTATTCTAGGCTCTTGAGGAGAGCTCAGGCTGAGGACCCAAAGCTGTTCCCAAAATTCCTGAGAGCAAAGTCTGATCAGTGCCTTCCTGCTCCAAGCTCTTCAAGTTCCTGACCTGGGTTTGGGTCTGCCCAACACTTGTCTTGCTTCTGGCTGGAAGTTCCGTGGACTATTGTTAGACTCAGTCACTATCAGCAATCCATGGAAGTTCTTCGTGGTCAAAGTGACTGAAATGAAGGCTCTTCTTTGGTCTGGAATTCCTTTCTTCATTTTTCCACTGTGGTTTCAGACTGGGCTAGAGGATGGAGCTGAGGCCATTCTCCATTCCTGAGGTCTAAGGAACATAGCTACTGTTTTGTTTCTAAACACATTCCTAGCTCACTGCATAGTCCAGGACTTGCAACTGCTTGTCTCTCTGGAATTCTTCCCTTGCCTCTCCAGGCACAGGTTCTCTCCTCAGTTTCCCCTTAATCTCTGATCCAGAAGTGGGTCATGATCAACAGAGCTTGCAGATGGCACCTATCCTGCATTGTGCACAACTCATCTCTAGTGTGGGTCTGGGACTTTTCCTTGCTCTGGTATATAATCTCAGTCCTCTTTTAGTCCTTGCATGCCAGAATACTCCACTCTGCGGGCTCCTGGTCAGACCCTATCCTCAATGTCCTTTCTGTCTGTCTTCCTATGTTGATCTAGGCTGGGAAAAGGACTCACTGTGATTTTGAAAAAATTACTCAATCTAGTGCATTTTCTAGATTTTCATGGAGAAGAGAGGGAGGCATGGGGTGGGGGGGAGTTAGGCCATACTTCTTGTTACTCCGCCATCTTGGCTCTACCTTTGCCTCACTTCCAATGAATGAGTCTTGCAGTATTTCTTAGTATTCCTTATCTTGGTTGCACAATAAGGATCCATTACATTGACAAAAGATATTTTCAGCCATTACCCAACCAATGGTAGGTTTTTTCTAGCTTTTTTCCCCCTTACACATAAGGTAACTCCCATGTAGATAAGACTTTTCTTCCTGTTGTTATTATTAATAACTGACATTTATGTAGCACTTTGATATCTGTGAAGCACTTTATTACTATTATCTCAGGAGCTTCCTAACAACCCTGTGAGCTGAATGCTACTTTTCCAGACCTGCAATTGAGGGTGATTAACTTGCCCAGAGTCACACAACTACTCAGTGTCTCCATCAGGATTCATACTTATGTCTTCCTGACACTAAATTCGAGGCTACTAAAGCTACTGAGTCCCTTAAACTTGTTATGTCTTAGTCCCTTAGGACTTGAAGAGTAATCTTAACATCTCCCTACCTATTAGCACTACCTTTAAGGTAGATGCTTTATCAGTTTCCGTTTTACAGCTGAGGAAACTGAGGCTGAAAGAGATTTAAGTTATAATCATAGCTATCATTTGTATAGCACTTTAAGGTTTGCAAAGTTTTGTGTGTGTGTGTGTGTGTGTGTGTGTGTGTAAATATAAATTTGATCCTCACAACAATCCTGGAAGGCAGGTGCTAATTATTAGCCCCATTTTATAGGATAATACCATGAGGAAACTAAGGTAGACAGAGGTCAAATGACTTGCCCAGGGTCATACATTTAAACTAGTTAGTGACTGGGGAAGGATTCAAACTCTATTCTTCGTGACTCCAAATCCAGCACTCTATCCCTCAGCTGCCTCCACCCTTCCTTCCATATACTTGCTGAGTCCTGAGTTACTTGCCTTTTCCTTTTTTGACATTTCAATTAGCAACTCAGGCAGCTGTCCTGTGCCCCATCATTCATTCATTTATTCAATAATTGTTTATAGAATACCTACTATGTGTAAGGCACTATGGTACTAGGCTCAGTACTTTCGCTAGACACTTAGACAGTGTTCTAGGCTAAATCCAACCTTCCCCTGGTCTCCCTCTTATGTCATGGCTAGGCTAGGCTCTCTCCCCTTTGCCCCATACCCCTGAGTTATCCTACTGTTTGCCCCAACAGGAGTACCTGGAGTTCCGGAAGGAGAGGAGTAAGATGCTGCTGTCCAGGAGAAACCAGCTGCTTTTGGAATTCAGTTTCTGGAATGAGCCTGAGCCTCGTGAGGGCCCCAACATTTACGAACTAAGGACTTACAAGCTGAAGGTGATTCTGGGCTTCCTCCCTGCCCCACTCTCTCCCTTTTCCCCTCTCAGAGCCAGATTTGAGAGGCCATGGATATTGAAGGTCCCTATAACTCTGCATCTGGCCACCACTGTGCTCTCAGCCCAGCCCACCCCCATTCCGATCCCACATTCAGCGAGTAAGTCCCATTTGTCAAGTGCTTGAAGTTTTACAAAGTCTTGTGAAGTAGATGGCACCAGTATTGCTATCCCCCATTTTACAGATAGCGGACACTGAGGCTCATTATTGTGCAATGATTTTTGCCTCTGTACGTTGCAGTGCAGGACAGCTAGCTCATTAGCAAAGTATTGTATGAGATCAGAGGAGTGAAAATCATCTCTGACAGGAGAAATCAGGGAAGGCTTTCTGGAAGATGTGACCATGAAAAAAAAGAGTAGAATTGATTAGATGAGGAAGAAGAGTCATAGTTCCACTTAATGCTGAGAGAAGGTCCAGGATTAAGGTGAACTGAGGTCTCTGGGATGGAGAGATTAATGTCCCTTTTCTTGGTGTCTCTTATTAGCCTGGGAGCTGAGGTTAATGTTAGAAGCCAATGTCTGTACTTACTAATCCCTTACGTTTCCTTTCAGCCAGGGACCATGATTGAGTGGGGAAACAATTGGTGAGTAGGAGCGCTGGGCCTGAAAAGAGCATGGGGGTGGGGGAGACCATTCTTGTCTCACCAAGACTTTTTGTTATTTTTTTAAGCGAATAATGTATTGCTATCTTGGTTTTACATCCCTTCATTTCCCAATCTTTTCCTCTAACATATCCCCCTGCCAAAGAACCATCTTTTATGATGAAGGAAACAATTGAGCAAAATTAAACCAAAACATTTGCCAAATCTGATATACTATGTAGCGTTTCACACCCGTTCTCCACCACCTCTGCAATGATAGGAGGGAGGTACCTTCTCATATATCTTCTTCAGGGCCAAACATAATCGTTTTAGTTGCCCAGAATTTAGTTTCACTTTTTCTTTTTTCCCATTTCCTTATAGTCATTCTTTATGTTGTTTTCCTGGTTCTACTTACTTCTCTGTGCATTGGTTCATAGAAGTTGTCCTATACTTCTCTGAATCCTTCATAGTCATCGTTTCTTACAGCACAATCCTATTCCATCACGTTCATGTGCCGTAGTTAGTTTAGTCATTCATTCCCTAGTTGATAGGCATCGGCTTTGTCTCCTATTCTTTGGTCCCTCAAAAAAAGAAGAGAAAAAAAGTCCATCACTGATTATTTTGGTGTTTATGGAACCTTTCTTTTTGTCATTGACTTTCATGAGGTATATGATCTGTGTCAAAGAATATGCACATTTGGATAACTTGTCTTAGCATATTCCAATTTGTTTTCCATAATTGGACCAATTCACAGCTCTACCAACAGTGTGTAAATATTCCTGTCTTTCCATGGCCCCTCCAACATTGTCTCTTCCCATCTTTGCCAATTTGTGGGCTATGATCACTAAGACTTCTCTTATAATCCCTTCCGAATCCCTTGGCACCCTGTCACCTTTTTGTGTCTCCCCTTGCAGATCAGGGCTCAGATGGAAGAGGTGACAGGTTTAACTTGTCAGTCTCCAAGGCAGCAGTAGCATTCTCCCTATCTCCATATTTCTGCTCTTCCCCTCACTAAACTTTGAGAACAAGTTTAGTACTCACTGGCATTCACATAGGGTTATAAGGTTTGCAAAGCATGTGATCTCCATGATAGCAATAATAATGATGATAGCATTTATAAATTATTATCTCTGTATTTATAGAATATTAAGGTTTGCAAGGAGTTGTGCAAATACTATCTCGTTTTATCCTCAGATATATTGCAAATGTTATCTGGGAGGTAGATGCTATTATGATATCTGTTTTACAGATGAGGAAACTGAGGCAGACAGAAGTTAAATGACTTGCCCAAGGTCAGACAGCTAGTAAGTGTCTGGAGTCAGGTCTTCCTGCCTGTTGGCCCAGCATTCTATCCACTGCACCAAATAGCTGCCTCTCACCTCATTTGAGTCCCACCCCATCACCTTGTGAGGTGAGCCGATTAATTGACCTCAACTCCATTTTCTCTTGGAGAAACCTGAAAGTGACTTGTCCACAGTGATACAGGTGGGAAAAGTTGACCTTCAGATTGGAACCCATATCTCTTGATTCTGAGACTGGCATCCTTGACCCAACCCCACGAGCTCAGACTATATTGTACCCAGGCTCCAGGCCAGGTCAACTGCTAAACTATGGCCTCTTCCTAACTTCCATTCTGCCCTCCTCCAGGGCCCGCGCGATCAAGTACCGTCAGGAAAACCAGGAAGCCGTGGGTGGCTTCTTCTCCCAGATTGGAGAGCTCTATGTGGTCCACCATCTCTGGGGTAGGTTGATCTTTCTCTCATTTCCTGTCTTCATTGCTAGCTGTGGGTTAGAGGCGACTGGGGAGGAGCAATCTATTACCCATTCCCTGTTTTCTGAAGTATGGCTCGCTTGACTAAGACAAAAGAGGAAGAAAAATCTTGGGAACTTAGAAAAGAGAAATAGTTTCCTTCCCGTGGCCCTGTAGATGGTGGACTGGGGCCTGGAATGTGCTCTCCTGTATGTGGATGTAAGCCATACTGGATATTATAAGTAAGTAAGTGAAAATATCAGTCCACATCTAGGCAACACATTTTAGAACAGGGGTTCTAGATCTTTTTTGTATCATGGACCCTCTTACCCCCTTTGGCCATCCAGTGAAGCCTACGGACCCCTCCTCAGAATGTTTGTAAGTGGTTGAAACAAATAATTAAATTTCAGTTCGAAATGAGTCAAAACCAAGATATTATTGTTTTCCCAGTCAATTTCACAGACCCCCCCTTAAATTTATCCACAGACTCCTTTATGTTCCAGAGTAAGGGACATGTGAGTCCCACCTTATTCTTCCCTGCTCAGACCGTATCTGGAGTCCTGTGTCACATCTTAGGAAGGACAGGAGGGTGGAGGGCCAAGATGGTGAGAGTACAGGAGACCGGACCATATGAGAATTGATGAAAAGAACTGTGGATGTACATTATTGAATATACTGTCAGACTTTGATGTGTGTGTGTGTACCTGCATTTATTTCTTCCTTTTTTTCTCCCTTGTTCATAGTGACAGGTGGCTGGGTAGGGATAGATTCTGAAATGAAGGTGATGGAAAACCGAAACGATCTGAATAAATTTAGAATTGAAAAGACAGAGAAAGAACGGGGCATGTTTAGCCTAGAAAAGATCAGGCTTAGTGGGGATTTGATGTCTGTCTTCTTTTTTTTTCCCTGAACTTAACCGACCCCAATAAAATGAGCATTTGTATTTACATATAAAAAGTAGAACAGAAAAAGGAGGATTATACATGAAGCTGTCTTCAAGTATTTGCAATGGGCTGTCATGTGGAAGAGGGATTAGCCTTGTTCTGCTTGGCCCCAGAGGGCTCAACCAGGAGGATTGTAAGATACAGAGATTTGGCTGGATGTCAGAAAACCCCAGTGCCTGTGACAGCTGCCCCAAGGTAGGATGAGCTGCTTCCAGAGGTGGGAGGCTGGCTCCTCCTCTTTGAAGATCTTTAAGCAGAGACTGGACAATGGAGCATTTGTCAGAAATGTTGTTGGAGAAGCTTTTTATTCAATTGGGCCTTGGACTGGATTCCTTTTGAGATCCCTTCCAACTCAGAAATTCCATGACCAGACTTATCCTTCTCCATTTAGAATGTTATAATCGAACAAACCCCTCCTACCCACAGTAGCATCTCCCATTTCTATGATTACATCATCATAAATATTCCCTTTTGGCCTTGTGACAACTCAGGAATTCAACATATTTTAATTTCAGTTTCACAGACATTGACACTGAGAGGTTATGGAACTCTTCCTTAAGCCAGTGGCAGACCCTGGATTTTGACCCTTGTTCCATGGATTCCAAAGTCCATGCACTTTCCATGATCCCATTATCCTTGTAAGATACGTTACACATAGACTTAGATTTGGTAATCTGATATCAATAGGGATAAAGGTGGCCATGAGCCCATTACAGACACTCATGGGCACACTAGGTCAGCCCATGGTATATTCAGGCTGGTATTTCGTCCCACCCCAGTGGTGACTGCAGGACTTCTTTTCATTTGAATTTATTGATGCCCCATGCTTGGCAAAGACAGGAGCTGACTCCTCTAGGTAGGAATCACTGAGTCTGAGAAATGGAATAATGGGGGGGCTAGGTGGCGCAGTGGATAGAACACCAGCCCTGGATTCAGCAGTACCTGAGTTCAAATCTGGCCTCAGACACATAACACTAGCTGTGTGACCCTGGGCAAGTCACTTAACCCCCATTGTCCAACCAGGGGAAAAAAAAAAGAGAGAGAGAAATGGAAGGAACCTCAGGGGCCCCACCTCAACCTCCAACCCATACACCAAAGGATTTCATACCATCATATACCCAACAAATGGTCTTCCAACTTCTGCTTGATGACCTCCAAGGAGTCAGAGAGTATTGCCTCTCTAGTCAACCCCTTCCATTTTGGAAGGGCTTTCATTGGGCGGGGGTGGGGAGAGTGGGGGATGGGGGGTGGAGTGTTTCCTGACATCAAGCCTTTAGAGGGCTCTTTGCACCTCCCCCTGTCGCTATGAGACCTTTTCTCCAGTGACGAATTGAACAAGGCTGATCCCTCTTCCATTTGATAGCCCCAGCTATCATTCCTTATCCCTGCGCCCCCCCCCCCCCCCCCCCCCCCCCGCCCCGCCAAGTCTTCTTTCCTTCAACTAAGGAGTGTTTCCTGTCTTTCACCAAAATCCCCAGGACCAGCTAGACATGTCCTGGAAGCCTGAGCCTTCCCTGGGATGAAGAGACATTAACATTTTTTTGCACTTAATTATATTTTATTTTTTCCTAATTACATGTAAAGATAGTTTTCAACATTCAGTTTTGTTAGATTTTGAATTCCAAATTTTTGTCCCTCCCTCCCTTCCCTACCCTCTCCCCAAGACAGCAAACGATCTAATATAGGTTATGACAGTAAATAATTATTAAGCACCTACTATGTGTCAGATGCTGAGCCTGTGGGTCTTAGCTCCTCAGTAAAGTGGACCCAAAGCAGATGTCTTTCTGGGGATTCTACAGATGTTCCTGAGCTTAAGAAGAGACATAAAAACCACCTGGCCCTGAAATCCCAATTTAACAAACACATCGTGTTTCTTCCTTTAGCCTATAAAGACCTGCAGTCCCGGGAGGAAACTCGAAATGCCGCCTGGAGGAAGAGGGGCTGGGACGAGAATGTATATTACACAGGTAAGGTACCAACTTTTCTCAGCATCTGACCTCATCACCACCACCCTCAGAAATAGGACTGCTGTTAACAGATCAATAAGCATTTAGGAAATGCCTATTAGTTCCCAGGTACTATGCTAGGTACTCAAGATACAAAGACAAAAAGAAAATTGTTCCTGTCCTCAAGAGGGTTAAATTCTATTGGGGCAGGGGAGAGAGCTGGTGAGAAGCAATGTAGTGCAGTAGAGAGGACTTGACTTCGAATTCAGGTTTTTGTCTAGCTGTGTGACCTTGTATGAGTCACTCAGTTTCTTATTTGTAAAATGAAAGATTTGACCTAGATAGTCTCTAAGGCCCCTTGTGGCCCTCAATCTATGAGCCTATGATTTATGACATTTCATATTTGTGTGTGTGTCTGTTCTCTTTCCTCCCCACCCCCCCATAGAATGTAAGTGCCTTGAGAGCAGGGACTGGTTCATTTTTGGTTTTTCATCCCCAGGTCCTAGCAAACAGTAGACAGTTAATAAAGGCTTGTTGCTTGTTTGCTTGATTCTTGACAGCAGGTGGCTAGGTGGGGTCTCAGCCTGAACACATAGATGAGAGAGTTATAACTGCTCTAGCGTCTTTGGGCTCTCCTATAGTAATTATTGGCAGCCCCAGCAAATGGCCCATGTCCCTCATTTATTCATTCACTCATTCATTTATCAGATATTTACGCAACATCTACCAAATGTAAGACACTCGGCTAAGGTACCTTTACTAGACACTTATATGGTCCTCTCCATCGAGTGAAGGGGTCACTGCTCAGCCCTTTCCTCTTTCCATTTCTGTTCCATCCTGTGGTCTCCCCATGGGAGGGAGCTTGGATAATATCTATATGAAGAGTTATCATTTATAGTATTTTTTCACAAGCTTCTCTGAAAGAGAGGCAATACAAATCTTATCCTCATTTTACAAGTGAGGGAATGGAGTCTCAGAGAGATGAGGCAGTTTTTTCCCAGACATACAACTACAAGGAGTCCAGGGCAGGAACCCAAGTTCTGGGCTCTGGGCTCTTTCCACCAGCCCATGCTGTTTCCTGATCTGTCTAGAGCTGGTGTCAGTAAACTATGGCCCGTAGGCCAAGTGTGGCCCGCTGCCTTGCTTTTTGTATGGACAGTGAAGTAAGAATAGTTTTTACATTTTTTAAATGGTTTTACATTTAATGTACATGTAATAATTTAACATATGTATGCTACATGTACATGTAATAATTTACATTTAATGGAAAAACAATTCCTATTTCTCAGAGCACACAAAACAGGCAATGGGCCAGATTTGGCACACAGGAGATAGTTTGCTAATACCTGCCCCGGAGGATAGGCGTGTGGCACGGTAGCTGGGGTCCTCACTGTGTTGTAATGAGAGAGAGGTGTTCTGGAGGGAGTCAGGAAGGAGATGGTTTTAAATCCCACCTCTGCCATTTAATGATCGTGTGGCCCCGGCAAATCACTGGACCTCTCCACTCTGAGCAGCTCTCTGTGGACCAATTGCTGATCTGCATTGATAGAGGGAGTTTACTCACAAATTGATGAAATCACAGGACCGGTCCAAAAGGGCACTGGAAGGGTGCCTATTGGATGAACCACAGCAATTACATAGGAAACGGTTCCAGAGACAAATCTGTGTAAAGAATAGAATCTAAGAAGTGGGTGATGAAAAAGGAGAGAGCGCCAGTCATGAAGCAACAGCCAAGGATAGCCAGGGACAGCCTGCATGCCTCTGGGTGCCCATACCATGGCAGGAATGCCTCCAGCATTTTGGGCAGACTCCTGGGGGTGAACTTATGGGAGGCCCTGCACAGGAGTTGATTGGGATGGGCTGCTAGTGGCAGCATTGAAGAGAATGCCACGTCAGAGCTCTATTGGTACCTTGGACTTCATGGGGCAATAGCCCGTGAGATAATGGATGTAAAGGGTTTCTCAAGCTTTAAGTCACTGTAGAAAAGTCCCTAGTTATGAGGGCGAGGGGTCCTCTGCACAGCCCCAGTGACCTTGATCCTTTCTTTCCACAGTCCCTCTGGTACGGAACATGGAGTCTCGTATCATGATTCCCCTGAAGATCTCACCCCTCCAGTGACCCTGCGGACCCCTTTCTCATCACTGGAGGGAGCTGTTAGCCAGAAGAGCCCCTCTCCTCTCCTCCCCTCCCCAGACACTCCCCCTTCCCCCACACCCCTCTACCACCTCATACCCCACTTCCCCTCCCCCCCATCCTCTCAGATTTTATGCCTCATTCTTTCTTTGGGGTCTGACGGGTTCCTCGGGGAGTTAGGTCAGGCTGAGGCTAGCTGAATTAGACCAAGACCTAGCTGCTTCTAATGCCCATCCACCTTCTCCCCATTCTGTTCTTCCTTTGGTTTCGGGCAGCTAGGTGACTCGGTGGATAGAGTTTGGGGCTTGGAATCAGGAAGACCTGTATTTAAATCATGCATAAGACACTTACCAGCTGTGTAACGAGCTGGGCACTTCCCTTCACCTCTCTGGGCCTCAGTTTCCTCATCTGTAAAATGGAGATCACAACACCACCTACCTCACAGGGTTGTTGTGAGGAGCAAACAAGATAATGTATGTAAATGGCTTTGCAAACCTTCAAGCTAGCTATCATTCTTACAATTCTCCTTTTTCTGCCAGTCCCTCATTCCCCTGGGGAAGTAGGAGCAGCTCTCAGCTTCTCATTTCCTTTTCCCAAGGCCCCTCAGCTCCGGCTGCCTGGGCCTGCCCTCCTTCCATGTGAACGTCCAGATGCAGTCATATTTATGTAAGAGGTGGTGCTGTCTTGTGGTTAGAGCTTAGAGGTAAGAGCTGGGCTGTGCCTACCTTAGCTACTAGCTTCCCTGATGCATCAGAGCCAAGGCCTTCTCTTTGCTTCTTAATCCAGGCTCTTAATATATGATGCTGAGCCAGTGAGAGGGCTAGCAAGGTCAAGGCTGTTGGGATGGGGGCTTTTGAGCCAGGATTCTAAGAAGATGGAGGGCTGCAGAAACAGCTCACTGCCTGAGGCCAGGGCCCGATGGAAGGACAGTCTTGTATTTGTGCTGTTCCTGTTTTTGTGGGGTCTATGGGTTAGGCTTCTAAGTATTACTGCAGCCGCCTGCCAGGCAGAAGGGGAGCTCTCCCAGTGGGTTTCTTTCTTCTAGAGTTCTGGGCTTTTCTCTCCCTCCCACCCCCCCCACCCCCACCCCCACCCCATATCTGGAATGGGGGCTTTGGCTGTCATGCTCCTTCTCTCTCCTCCCTCCTATATTCCTCTTCAGTCCTTCCTTCTGTGACTATCTGCGGCCGTGTGGGGATCATTGCAATACCTGGGAGGAGCAGGGTTGGGCCTCTTCGGGTCCCTGTACCCCACAGATTATGCCAAGAGGCTCACACCCATCCCCCTCCAGGGCGGCCTGTACTGAAAGTCACTGACTGACCTAATTAAATATTTAATAGAAATGGTGCTTGCTGTTCTTCACTTGCCAGGAATCTCCCCTCGCTGCCCCAAGGTTCCAGAGATAGGAGAGGCTGGAACTGGTGAGAGAAGCACTCGGAAAATGAGGTTGGAACCAAAGGAGGCAGGCAGGCTTGGAGTTTTTCAGTGAGACGCTGGGCAGAGGACACGTTGGGAAAATCATGCGTGTTAGCCCATTTCTCCCGAAGGATCTAGAGTCTGGGGAAGGGAAGGCTTGGGAGCTCTTACCGAAGGGCTGTCACCTGGATGGATTGCCTTGCTCTTCTTGGGCCTGGAGGGCAGAACCAGGAGCAGCCGGAGGGGAGGAGGGAGCAGATTAGGCATTATGTCAGGCAAAACTTCCTCCTGATAATTAAAGTCTCCAGCCAGGGTGTATTTAAGCAAGGGCTGGATAATAATTTGTTGGGCATCACAGTTTGAGAGCTGGAAGGCCTTCAGCAGCCATCTGGTACAGCCAACACTAGAGAAGGAATCCACGTTATCACATACCTAACGTGTGTTGTCTGACATCTGCTCGAAGACCTCCCAAGGAAGAGAAACCGACCACCTCGCCAGGTAGTTCATTCCGCTCTAGGCTAGCTCTCATCATCAGGAAATCCGTCCTGGTATCAAACCTAAAATGGCTTCACTGCCAAGACCTCCCCTTTCCTTCAGCTTTTCCTAGTTGGGGAGGGGTATTTTAACTTAAATATAGAAGCAATTAGGTGGTAAAGTGGATGGAGGCAGTACCTGGAGTCAGGAAGACCTGAATTCTAATCCTGCCTCTGACGTTAGCTGCGTGACTTTGGGCAAGTCATTTCACCGCCATCCCCAGTGCCTGTTTCCTCATCTGTAAAATGAGGATAATAATAGCACCTACTTCACAATGTTGTTGTAAGACCAAATGAGATGACATGTAAAGTGTTTTACAGACCTGAAAATACCGTATCAATGCTAGCTCTTATTAACCTATGGAAGGATGTGCACACGAGTCACCTTGACTTGATGACATCATAGCTGTATTTGAGGAAGGTTTTTGTTTTGTTTTTACTGAGAGAAGTATGACCAGATTTTGTGGAAATCAATTCCATTACTTTATAGCTAAATTCTACTTAAAAGGACCGACTAGTTTGACTTTTAAATTGGCAATAGTGAACAGAAAATTTGATCCTGTGACTACAATTGCTGTTGAAAATAGGCCCCAGAGTGAGAGGGAAGGAGAGTTAGGAAGGTGGTGGGGAGACACAGAGGTCGGGGATCCAGGTTGGAAGCCTGGAGAGAAGCAGAGAAACATCTAGCACTCATATACCTATCTATTCACTCCTGTAAAAACCTGAAATTTACTCCAGATTGAATAATGACAAAACAAACATTGTATTTCAAGAAATCACAAGTGAAAACTACCCAGATTTATTAGAACCAGAGGGCATGATGAAGATGGAAAAAATCTTCCGATTACGTCTTGAAAGAAACACCAAAAGCAAAGTCCTAGTGATATCATAGCCAAAATTGAGAGCTCCTACATCAAAAGAGAATATACTTCAAGGAGTCAGAAAGAGGCAATTTAAGCACCAAAGAACTAAAATCAGGATCATACAAGAACTGGCAGCATCTGCTAAAAACCAGAGAAGAGCATGGAATTCAATATCCAAAAGGCAAGAGATACTGGTTTACAACCAAGAATAACTTACCCTGCAACATGTAAATGTATTGGAGCAATTAATGGGACCTTATTTAGTACTAACATATTAATGGAAGAGAACTGTCTTCAAGGGGCATTGAAGGAGTTGAATAAGAAAAATAGAGGAACTTAGGGTTGGATTGGTTCTGTTTTGACTGTTTTTAGAGGAGAAAAATAAGGGAGAGTGAAAAGAATATACTTTCACAGAATAAAGGAAAAAGGGAATAGAACTCACTTCCCAGAATCAGTATGGATGAGAAGAAGTATTTTCAAACATGGAGAAAAGGGTAGGGAAAACATCGGGTGAAACTCTTATGAGAATCAGACAAAAGAGGGTTGAACACACCCCTGGTTTGGTATAGAAACAAATCAAACAATAAAGAAATAAGGGAGGATTGTGAGGGAGGGGGTTAAGAAGGGAGACAATACCTGTGAGCTGATAGTCACCAGCAAAACAAACTTCTGAATCCTGAGAGGGAGAAGACATGAAACTTAACGAGTGTTCATCAATTACGAGAATGTCTGAACAAATAGTGGTCCATGAATGTAATAAAATACGATTGTGTTCTTAAGAAATGATGAAAGAGATGTTGTTAGAGAAGTAGGAGCTGATGCACAGCGAAATGAGCAAAAACAAAGCATATATTGACAAGAACATTGCAATAAAAAATGATTTGGAAAGACCTAAGAACTCTGAGGGAAACGATGGTCAATCATGTCTCCAGTGGACCCATGAGGAAGCACAGTAATCTCCTGACAGAGGAATGATGGACACTCAAACTGCAAAAAGATATATTTAGGTAGAGATACAGAAGATATATTTGTATGTGGTCATTGTATGAATTTGTTTTGCTTGACTGCTTGTTATAAGGGTTTTTCTTTTTATGAGGCAGCTAGATAGTGCTGTATATAGAGCACCGATCTGGAGTCAGGAAGACCTGAATTCAAATCCAGCTTCAGGGGCTTACTAATTGTGTGACCCTCGACATATCACTTAATCCATATCTGCCTCAGTTGCCACCTCTGTAAAATAGGGATTATAATAGCACCTACCTGTCAGGATTGTTTTGAGGATCACTAGAGATATTTGTCAAGTACATTTCAATAAAGTGCTAACTGGGCAGTTGAGATAAAGGAAATGAGCAATAGCCAATAAAGAAGAAGACTACTGGAATTTTTTTTTGAAAATATATGAAAGAGAACAGAAGGGAAGTTGAGGCCAGTTCAGAAAGTAATGTAAAATTGATTGTATGTCGTGGAGACTCATGATTTCATATACAATCCTATTTTGGGTGGTTTAACTCTGTTTATGGAAATGGTTATTGCTACTGTTTTTTGGTCTTCAAGTTCAAAATAAAAGTAAAATCGAAGAGTGCTGGATTTCACATCAAAGCACCTGGGTTTAAACTTCTGTTCTATCACTTCCTAACTCTCTGTAGGTCTAATCAAGTCACTTGATCTCCGAGGGCCTTGGGTCAAATGAGTGAGTTTGACTAAGTTCTCAGAGAAGCCTCTAAGACTATAAATTGCAGACAAGTTGTTGATCTGCATTACTCGAGGAAGTCCCTCGATGGAAATTCCCTTCACCATTGAAATAATAGGGCTGTCCAATAAAAATTGATTGAAGAATGCCTTGCCGGAAATCAGGGATTCTCAGGGATGGAAGTGAGACAAAATACCTTCCACCTCTCAGAATCCCTATTTTCTTTCAAGGCACAGCTCCATCTACAAGTATCTCTCCTATCTGCGGTTGATCAATAAACGTTATAGTATTATCATTGCCTGGGCCTCTTATTTCTACCTATGCTGGCCATAACTGTTCTGCTTAACTGAGGTTAAGTGACTTGCCCCTACCCACACAGCAAAGCAGGTGGCAGAGGTGGGATTTGAACCTGGGTCTTTCTAGGTTAAAGAGACCCGCGTTCCATCCATTGGGCCCCTCCGCTACTCGCCAGAGAGGGGGACTTAAGAAGGGTGCCCGCCTAGAAAAGAGGTGCTCAGGCTGCGGAGCTGGGAGCCTGGAGCCACTAGGGGGTAGCAGAGAGTCCCGGCGCGCGCCGCTCGTCCCGCCTCATCTCTATGGTACTCCGGTGGGCGTGGCTTGGGCTCTCTAGCCACCGGAAGCGGAAGGCTCGCCGGCTCTCGTTTGGTCTGTGGTGGCGGTGGCGCTGCTTCATCCTCCGTGTTCTCTTCCGTGCCCGTGGGCGTCGAGGTCCTGCTTCCATCTGCCCCACGGACGACCACGGGAGCCCCAGCGGCCTCTCGGAGCGCCAGCCCGAGCCCCGGGCCGGTCCTCAGGTACGTGCATCCCCCGGGGGTCGCCTCTCCCCGGCCGAGCCCCTCCCCCGCGGGAGCCTCGCGCTGGGCCCCCCATCCCCCAGCCGTGCCCCTCCCCCACTTCCCGGGTTCCTCCTCCAGCCGAGCCTCTCCCCAGGACCCCCACCCTTCCGATTGAGCTCCTCCCACTGCCGCTTTCTCCCTCCGACTTGGCGCCTCCCCCAGCTCTTCCATCCCCCAAATGTGCCTCTCCAGGACCCCCAACTTTCCAACTGAACCCTTCTCTCCAACTCGCTCCCTCCCCCGGGGTCGCCATCCTCTGACCTCCCCCCCCAGGACCCCCACGCTCACAAGCCAGCCCCTCCCCTTGCCTCCTTTCTCCAGCTCAGCCCCTCCCCCGCTCTCCTGGTCCCTCCCCCAGCGCCCACATCCCACCGCTGAGCCTCTCTCCAGGACCCCCAGCCTTCCAGCTGAGCTCCTTCCCCCACTCCTGGACGCCCCTGCCCCGACCCCCCCCCACCTCCTCCCTCAAACTGAACCCTTCTCTCCCTGTGCCTTTCCCCCATCTCCCTCCCTTCCGTGAGGCCCCCTCCTCCATACTGCCCCCATTCCACCAACTGACCCCCCCTCATCTCCAGATCCAGTACTTGGCTACTCTTACCTTCATCCCTCAATCTGAGCCTTGTGCCCCAGTGCCCACACCCTGCACTCCTCCAGATGCCCCTTATCCCACAAACTGAATCTTTCCTCCTATCCTTTGGCCCCTACCCCTCCCCTTTGGATCATTTCCATCCCTCACATTGAGTCCCTCCCTCCACACTCCACTTCTCCTTCACCCTTCCTCCTTCAATTCTCACTCCCCCTTCATCAGTTTGAGAGATTATCTCAAAAGTGAGCCCCTTCACCAAGCCCCTTTACCCACCTCTCCTCCAGACCCCTTGTCCCTGCCTCATCTGTCACTGAGCCCCTTCCCCCAGGCACGGTCCACTCTTCACAAAGTCCTGGTGGCCTCCCTCTGGCCTCCTCATCTAATACAGACTCCTGACGTTGAAAACCATTCCTTCACAGGCTCCAGACCTTTCCAGGTTAATGGCACAGTCTGGTCCAACCAAACTGGATGCTCGCTGTTGCCCTACAAGACAATCACACCTTCCTTCCTTCGACCAAACATTTATGATGTACCTGCTGTGGGTCATCTCCCAGCTCGGTGCCTTGAGCCACCTCCCGTTTCCCTGACTGCCCACGTTGTTCCCTGTGCTTTAAATGAATGAAAAACACTTACTAAGCCCTTGCTCTCCCTGGGCCAGCCCAGGGAATGTGTTCCTTCCTTACTTCTTCCTCGCCTCTGCCTCTTGCCTGAAGCCGCAGGCTCCTGTCAGGGTGCAGCTCATCTCCTTGAAGGGGCCTTTCTCATTCACCTTGTGAGCGGGGCTGGTTTCCTTGTATTAGTGTCCCCCGCTGAGCCTGGAACAGGGCATCTCATAGCAGGCTATTAACAAATACTGGTGGACTGATGACCCAAGCTGTTAGCGCTCCCCCATTCCACACAACTGCTTTGCATTCACTTTGTACCCATTTCGCACGTACTCACTGTTTCTCACACTGTAGTTGACTTTAGGTAGCGGGCATTCCATTCCCTCAGCCTTAGTTTCTCCCTGTAAAAAGGAGGGGATAGAGAGAGAACTAAGTGATCTACAAGGTGCCGTCCAGTTTTAAAACTGGATCTGTGTTCTTCTCTTGCTTTCCTTCGCTGTGCTGTGTAGACCAGGAGCCGTCTCAGCTTTTGTCTTTCTCCTCTCTGAGCCTGGCACGAGGACTCTTAGGGACCCGGTGTTCCTTTTTGTGACCTCTAGTATCTAACGGCATTTGACGCTTGGGATTAGCTGTAGAGCAAGAGTGGACCTTGGAGCCTGTCTAGTGTAACCGTACCATTTCACACATGAGAAAACTCAGACTGAGAGAGGTTAGATGACTTGCCCAGGGTCACACAGGCTCCAAATTCAGTGGTCACTCTCCGGTCACAGCCAGAATTTAATAAATGCTTGGGAGCAAAGCCCCTCCCCCTGCCACACAAAACCCTTCCCTGCCCTGCCTGAGCTCCTGCTCCCCCAGATTGACCTGCTTGACTGAGCCTCTCCCTGTGGTGGGTGAAGACCTAAGCCCTTGGTGAGAGGCAACCCGAGACTTCCCAGGCCAGGCCAGGGAGCATCTGTTCAGTGGGCGGGCTCTCTGCTAAGCGAGACAAACAGGAGAAGCCTTTACTTTCAAGATGCTCACATGCTTTTGGAGAGATACACCATGTAGATAAGCATAGACACGATCGTTGGACGCGGAGGAGAGAGTGGGTGCAGTTCAAAGGGAATCAGGGAATGCTTCTCTCATGAAACGGCGCATGAGGCCAGGCATCGTGGACTATGGAGGTGAAGGTGAAATCTTGTGGGGAGTAGGGGCTACGGCTCAGGCAAAAGCATGGGAGTGGAGGAGTTGAGGAGTAGCTTTTAGGCCAGCATGACTGGAATGCAGAGCTCCAGAGAATACCTTTGGGAAGGTGGGCTGCTGCTGGGTCGTGCCAGTCTTTGAATGCCAGGCTGAGGCGTTTGTATTTTGTCCTGGAGGCCGTAGGGCCCTGAAGCTTCTTGAGCAGAGACTTGTGCTTTAGGAAGATTATTTTGACAGTCCTATGAAGATGGACTGGATTAGAATCCTGGAGGCCAGATAGAAAGCTATGAAATAGTCCAGGTGAGAAGTGATAGGGTCTGAACTAATAATAATAATAATGATAACAGCTGGCATTTATGTAGCCCTTTGCATATGTTGACTCATTTGGGAGTGATTTGGGAGTGGAGAGGATAGAGGAGAGGACTTAAAATCAATTAGATTGGACAGCTGATTAAAATTGGGGAGGAAGGGAGAGAGGGAAGAGATGAACTGAGGTATTGACCAGAAGGATGGTCATATAATAAGACCTAACGTGTAGAGAACTTCAAGTTCCATATCCACTTTCCATATATCACCTCATTTATCCTTGCAGCAATCCTGGAAGGTAGATGCTATTACTAATCTCCATTTTACTGATGAGGAAACTGAGGCTGAGTGAGGCGAAGTGACTTGTGCATTGTCACACAGCAGTAAGTATCTGAGGCAGTATTCTGGTGCAGGTCTTCCTGCTTCCAGGTCAGGACTCCAGTCACTCACTGCATCCCACAGAAATGGCAGAAGCCGGCCTGACCTTAGTCCTGGCAGCTGTAAGTGCAGTGCTCTTCCCACTGTGTCACGCTACCCCGTTGTGTAGCTCTCACTCATTTGTGGGTGAGGGCTTCAGAGCCCCTTCTCCAGAGGGGATGCATTTCTTGTCTCCCAGGCTCCCCAGTTTTCCTTTTCCTCCTTTCCCATGCCAGAATTGCATGGAAGTCCAAGCATGCTATGACTATTTCTCTAGAGTGGGTATTTTTTATTTATTTTTTTGGCAAGGCACTTGGGGTTAAGTGACTTGCCCAGAGTCACACAGCTAGTGCCAATGTCAGGTGTCTGATCTGAGACCAGATTTGCACTCAGGTCCTCCTGACTCCAGGGCCGGTGCCCTATCCCCCAGGCCACTTTGCTGCCCCTAGAGTGGGTATTTTTAACCATTTTTGGGTCAGGGACCCCTTGGCAGTCCAGGGAGGTCCTTCTCAAAAGAATACTTTTAAATGTATAAAGAGCCTGGTGTGGTGGTGCCGGCCCGTCACCTCTGTGCCTGGGAGAGGCTGAGGCTGGTGGATTGCTCGAGTTCGGGAGTTCTGAGCTGCAGTAGGGCTGAAGTCTAGAACCAGTAAGGTGAGCTCCTCAGTGCAGGAGAATCACCTGCCTGAGGAGGGGGCAAACTGGCTCAGCTGTAATTAACAGGTGGAAGCTTATTGGGTTGGGCTCGTGAATGACTACTGCATAGGGAGAGTCAGTCTCCCAAAAAATGCATCAAATAAAATACTTAGGATTACAAAAGAAACTAATTATATTCAAATTCAATGATCAAAACAAGTTCCCATACCCCAGGTTAAGGATTCCTGCTCCTGAGTGTCCTCAGTCATTTACCAGGTATACTTTTGGGGTGCAGAGTGGTGTAAAGGGGTCCCAAGACTTTTCCCTACTGGTATCCGGCCTGCTTGGGGGATTTATGTGGCCTGTCTTTGTTAAGGTTTTTCCCATATCAGATACGAAGAAACCCAGAGCTCGCCTCCTTAGTAGCTGTACAGTCTGGGCTCAGAATAGCTGCTCGTCCCCTTGTCAGCCCCTTCCAGCTTTTTCATACCCTAGCGTTCTCCAGTATGGGCTTCAGTGTTCTTATCTGTGAAATGATAGGCTTGGCTGGGATGATCTCTAAGGTTCCTTCTGGCTCTAACATTCTCTGGTTCTATGATTCCATGAAGAAGAAGTCAGCCATGTCTACAGAGTCGAACAAGAAGCGGAAACCCAAAGTGATCCGAAGTGATGGAGCCCCCCCGGAGGGAAAGCGTAATCGGAGCGAGCTCGACTTGGTGAGACCCCGAACCCAGCAGCCCCCGTAGGCGTGTGCGCCCTCACCCCGGGGCCGTGTGCCCTCTGGCCAAGACGCTCTCTGACTAGCCATGTCCCAGGCTCGTCTTCCTCGGACTGGGAAACCTCCAGAGACGCAGTAGTCTTGGCTTCATTACTTAGGATAGCACTACAGCCTTTTTAAAGTGGCGATGCTGGCTAAAGAAAGTGTGCCAAGCAGAGCTTTAGTCTTCCATTGTGGAAACAAGGAGAAAACTTATTTTCTGACGTGTCATTTGTCTTAACGGTGGCGTTCTTCCTCAGGATGCGCAGCCAGACCGGCCCCTTGGGTCCAACTGGTCATTGAAAATGCCCTGGCCATACTTCCCCTCCCCCACACCCTGTCTTCCTTTCAAAACACGTTTAATTGGTGTCTTGTGTCTTTATATCCCATTTGTTTCACCCACACTGACCCCAGGTGAATATGCTACCTTGTGTCAGAGCAAAATGACAAAGCAGAACTGTTCAGCAGGAGTACCTCTGACAGTGTGTACAGGACAGTTCAGTCCTGGTGGTGTCATTCCCCGCAGCCCCCAGCAAGTGGTGTTTTCTCTGGGCCCTCACTGATTTTTCAGTTGCTGATGGTGTTTAGTGAGCGTTTTGTTCATGTTGTGGCCGTTTTGTGTGCTGTTCTTTTGGTTCTGCTTGTTTCATTTGGTGCCTTTTCACACTGATCTCTGCCTTGGAATTTCTCATTCTCGTTTCTTATTGCACAGTGATTTTAAAAAGCATACGCTATAGTTTTTTCAGCCATTGCCCCAACTCTTGGGCATCCGCTTTGTTTCCAGTTCTTTGGTACCATAGACTCTCAGATCTTCACCTGGAAGGGACTCCAGAAACCATCTGGTCGAATCCTCTTGCTTTGCAGATGAGGAAACTGAGGCCCAGGGAGGTAAAGGGACTTGTCTAAGGTCACATGTAGGCTCATAAATCTGAGCTGGAAGGGACTTAGAAAGCCACCCATCTTCTTCATTTTATAGAACATGAAGTGGGCCCAAGGAGGTACAGTGATTAGCTCATAGTCCCATCGGTAGTTATGTAACGAGGTGGGATTTGAACCCAGGGCCTCTGACTCCAGAGGTAGTGTTCTTTCCTTTGTACCGTCTGGCTCCCTCATGTATTGGACCTTCTGCATATCTTTTTTCAGATCTGTAGAGCAAATTTGAAAAACCAAAACACCAGCCCTGGATGCAGCCACACCGTAAAAGTAGAACATCCCAGCCTACTGGCCAAAGTTAAATTGGAAAGAGGCTCCTACAAGACGCTCAGCACAAGGGAAAAAAGCTAGTGGAAAAACAGGAAATATTTTCCCCTCAAATGTCAGTTCTGTTTTTATCCCATCCCAGTTGGGTACTTGTGCACTCTTCTGATGACCCCAAGAACTGGGGGGCTGGCTGTGCGTTGTACGTCACCAATCAGACCTTTCTGAGGCACCAGATGAGAGCACCCTCCTCTCCACCTTCCTTGTGTAGCTAAAGCCACTGTCGGTAACCATGACCAAAACATGAAGGGCCCCTCTCTGTGTTCACCTGCAGGACATGAAATACTATAGCGAGGAGGCTGAGGTGGACGTTCGAGACCCCAACAAGGACTATGACCTCTACAGGTTCACCTGCCACGAACTCCAGCGACTCATGGCTGAAATCCAAGAGCTCAAGAGCAGAGGCAGCAGGGACAGTGTAAGGAACCAGGGCTGGGTGTGTCCCCGCCTTCACTTGCCAGGGCCCAAAGGGCCTCCTGACCTCTTTCACGGTTGATCAGCCTTATGCAGATTTCTTAGAGCCCTCCCATGACATCCTTGTATTTTATTATCTACTGATTGAGAAAAATACATGTCTGGCTGTACCGTGACTGCTCACACCATCCCGTGGCACACAGGTCAGGAAGCTCTGGGTTGGGCCGTTCTAGCCTTTGGGCTTCATATTCATGAGGATCTTCTTTCTGCTCTTAATCTTTTTGTTTTTAGCTAGAGATTAGAAACTTTGAGGTTCTACATGCCTATGACTTTTCTTATAGCGTGGAATCTTTTTCTCCTGTCAGTATCCAATTAATATTTACTCTGATTGAGGAAGGGGAAAAAAGTTTCAGCACCTGAGCAACTATTTGAAGGCTAAAAGTTCCTCTTTCGTGTGAAACACTGGGCTGGTAGTAAGGCCTAAAAAACACAACCCAACCAGTCTCCGTTATGCTAGGGGGATGCGTCGTGGCACAGATGAGTAAATATCAAGTAAGGACCAGGTAATTTGCAGGCTAGGGAGGGGGAACCTAGAAGCCACACACTTCAGAAAAGGCTTCACGGAGGTGACTGTACTTGAGCTGGGCTTTGTTTTTGTTTTTTTTTTGTTTTTTTGGTGAGGGCAGTTGGGGTTAAGTGACTTGCGCAGAGTCACACAGCTAGTGAGTGTTGTGTGTCTGAGGCCGGATTTGAACTCAGATCCTCCTGACTCCAGGGCTGGTGCTCTATCCACTGTGCCACTTAGCTGCCCCCCTTGAGCTGGGCTTTGAAGGAAGCCAGGGATTCTGAGACACACAGATGAGGAAGGGGGCACAGTCCAAACATGGGCATGGGTTGCATAAGGCCCGGGTATTAGCTGGGAACCCTGTTTGTCTGAAACCTCATATGTGTAAAGTAGAGCAATGTGAAATCAACCCAGAAAGGTAAGCTGAGACCAGAAGCTAAAAGCTTTATCCTGGAGACAGCAGTTGAACCACTCAGGCTTTTTGAGCAGAGGAGAGGAGTGGTGTAGGTACACCTGCCCTCAGGAATGTCACTTTGGCAGCTGTGCGGGGAAGACCTGCAGAGAGACCTTAGAAGAAGCTCTTGAAATAAATAGTCCAGCCAGGTGACGAGCTCGGCTAGGTTAGTGGCCATGGAAGGGGGAAGAAGGAGTCAGATGTGAGATGTAGAAATGACTCGCCTTGAAGACCTGGTGGGTGCATATAGGAGGTGAAGGAGAGTCACTTTGAGGTCGAGAACCTCAGGATGGTGGTGCCTCCTAGCACCATTCTCTGTATTGCTTCAGCGGTAGTAGGGACGTTAAGACGGGATGGGTTTTGGAGGAAACGTAGTGAGTCTGTTTTGGACATATAGTATAGGAGAGGCTGATGGGACATCCACTTGGAAACGTTCTGATGTATAGATAGCTATAGATATTGTTATATCTGGGAAACGTCTGTGTTGAGATAATTGAACACATGGGAGCTGATGAGATCACTGAGAAAAGGTGTAGAGATGGGGAATAAGAGGCCCAGGTCAGAGACCTGGGGAACAGCACAGTTAGAGGATGTGGGATAGAGGACGAAACGACCAAAAAGACTGAGGAGGAGCAGTCAGGTGACGAGGACGAGGACCACAGGGAGGAGTGTCACAAAAACCCAAGGGGGAGAGAGGGTGATCAGTGATGAGCACAGCACAGGGTTCCAGAAGCATGATAGTGACTAGGAGAGGAAGTCTAGCATAATGAGGTCAGTCAGGGTTCTTGGGGATGGTTTAGACTTAAGCAAGGCAGCAGATACAAGAAATTGAAGATGCCTGAGTGTGGGAGGGTGATGGATGAGGTAAGCTTCTTGTGTGTAGTAAAGAAATTGGCCTCGTGGAGAAGGGCCGCCACTTCCTTGGGCGCAGGCGTCGAGGTGGAGAAGAGAGAAATGGAACAGGGTTTTGAGTTGTATCTGAGGAAAGAAGAGGGAGTTCATGCAAAGTCTCTCTTTTCTCGGTAGAAGTTGATGCTCCCGGCCTAGAGGGGAGGTGTTGAGTGTTTAAGAAGAAAAGGTTGGAACGGCTGGAGAAGGGAATAGGCCAGAGTCCTTTGGGGCAGGCCCCAGTTGTCCTGTGAAGCATGGCGAGCCCAGTGGTACTGGATACAACCTAGACAATGGTGATTCCCCTGTGCAGAAGCTTGAGAATATGAACACACAAGATGAATGGCAGGTCTTGGGGTAGTCCATGGTTGAGCATTAGAAGGGGAAGATGAAGAAACAGGTTCAGATGTTAAATGATGGTAGGTCAAGGGTGAAGATAAGTGCACAGTTGAACTGGTCACCTCCAGTGAGGCCAGAACAGAGATGATGGCGTGGGAGAACAGGGGAGGCTGGAGGGACTGGAGGTAACGTTAAAGGATGGTTAGGAGGAGTGAGGGAGATGGAGAGGTGGAAGGCAGGAACTCGGGATCAGAGAGGACAGTGTGGGTTCAGAAGACTGGAGGTGGCACAACAGACATGATTGTGAGGTGTCCTGGCCATCCCTGTGAATGACTGAGGTCAAAGAAAGCGTAGGCCACAAGAGTGGAGAGATTGATGGAGTGGGAGACCAGGCATGGCTGGCTGGCTCATCTGTGTATTACTGACATTTCACAGTATTGGGCTGGAGGTGGATACTGACCCAGGGACGAAATTCCTTGAGGAAACTAGCTGCGAGTGACCTGGAGGCCTGTAGATTGAAACAACCACAGGCTGGCCAGGATGATTCAGGTAGATGGACGAGGCGGCAGAGTGGGGAGCAAGCAGTACACCCCCTCCTGGAGGGGGGTGAGGGGAGGGGTTTTCATTACAACTGTCTCAGAATCCCTGGGATCAAGGGAGCAGAGAGTGCACCAGTTACCAGTTGGATGGGCCCTCTGCCTTGCAGGGGACTCTGCTGAAGGTTTCTCTTTACACACAGGTGGGTGGGGACCGGAATTATCTAGTCTAATCCCCTCATTTTACAAATGAGGACGTTAAGATTAAGTGGTTTCACTAGGTGACACAGGTATTAAGCTTCACGTCTGGCATTGAAACTCAGGTGTTCGATATCCAGCCTTCTTTCCATTCTACCATGGTGCCTTTGGTCGGCAAGGAATGAACTGAGCTGAACACATGGTCACGACTGGTTAGTTCATTAATTACATCCCAAATGGCCAGGGATGAAGCTCCCTCAGCAGACACCCTGCCGTGGGTTGTTGGTGGCTTTATGTCCGGCCTCTCTAGTTCCAGGGCCCTGCTCAGGCCTAGGCCTGAAGTCCTCTAGTTGGTTCCTTATTTTGGTTATTTTAGTTGCCAGATCAGCCCCGGAGCCCCTTGGTCGCTTAGCAGTGGAGAGCATTCACCTACATTGATGACATTTAGTCTGTTAGTATCAGATGAACAACTTGGACTTTGGAGTCCTGGAAGCTAGAAGTGTGCCTGAGGCCCAGGTAGTGGCACCGGACGATGCCAAAGGTAGCTGTGTAGCACGTGATGATTTAGGGTCTGAGCCCCAAGGATGGAGTGCCGTTATTTTAATTTAAATGTTTATTGCTGTTACTGTAATGCAAGTGAAGACAGTACTTTCACAGTTTAAATCCCTGTGTAATCACAGTGATTATTTATTCATCGTCTGTTGTTTAAAAAAAGAATCTCCAAACCTAGGACCCAACAAGTACACGAGAGCTGTTCTGGATTTTCAGTCTTTCCTGATGAGGTCATTTCATTTCCTTACTGGTTTTGGTTGATCCAGACTTTCCTCTAAGTTGTTCCTGTTCTTTGGAATGGACCACATGTCTGTGATTGATTCTCAAGGTGGTGGAAATCCCGAGAAGGGCCGGGCTCAAGGGTGATACCTGCCTTTTACCACGTCTGTTTGTCCCCAGGCTTCCGAAATAGAAGAGAGGAGGATCCAGAGCTGTGTTCACTTCATGACCCTGAAGAAACTGAACCGGCTGGCTCATATCAGACTGAAGAAGGGGCGAGATCAGACTCATGAGGTAGGGCTGGACAGACAGACAGAGCAGGGAGTGTGAAGTGCCACCTGTCGCCGCACCCGCATGTCTCCCTCCTCTCCAGTGATTTAGTTTCACCTCCTCCTTCCAGGCTAAGCAGAAGGTAGATGCCTATCACCTCCAGCTCCAGAACCTGTTGTATGAGGTGATGCACCTGCAGAAAGAGATCACCAAGTGCCTCGAATTTAAGTGAGTATGGGAGCAGGTGGCGCATTGGACAGTGGCTTGGGGTGCACAGTGGGCTGGCAGAGACCCCAGACAGAGACCTGACTGGCTGGGAACAGAAAGGCCTTAGCCGAGACGCTCATTGGATTATGTTAGGTGATGACTCGGAGCTGGAAAAACAAACAGCCAAAAAACCAGACCCAAACTGAGATTTGTTCCTAGCAGGTTCCCCAGTGATGCAAACTAGACTTTTAGGATATATAGCAGCAACTCCCTTTGAAGTCACACTTTCCCTTTCTGCTACTCCCTGTTGATTTTTTTCTCCCAGGTTCCCACAGTTCATGTGTTAATGGGTTACACTTTGGAGAGTTGACCTGATTTTTTACAGACGGAGTTGTAGCACCACCACCCTCGTGTGCGGGACAACAGTTGTCCTGTGTCCTCTTTTCTAGGATGGACACACTTAGGACCTTCCCATGTTCTTCATAAGACATGGTCTCTGAGCTCCTTCCTCGTTTGGTTACCCTCATTCAGATGCAGAACGCTTCTGTTAATGCAACCTAAAGTGGGTGTGCCTTTTGAGGGTCCTGTTCTAGTAATTAGATTTGTGTTCCACCCAGCCCCATGTGCTGCTCCTAAGCCAGGCTGCCTCCACTCTAGATTTCTGCAATTTTAAAAAATTTAAATGAAGGAATATCCTTTTATCCCTGGTAGATTTCATTTGGCTGGAACTCAGTGTTCCAGCCTACTGAGGTGATTTGGTCACTTAATTGAATTAGCAATGGTCCTTCCAGCTTTCTGTCACCTGAAGATTAAATGGTCTTTCTGGGTACTTATTGACAGAATCATAGAATTTCAGAGTAGGAAGGCATCTCTCACCCTAACTCATGCCCCAAAATAAAGTTCATGACGACATTCCTGACCCCAGTGAAGTGAGAAGGAGGTGGGGGGGGGGAGGAAGTGAGGCGATTCATTCCTCTTTTGGGTAGCTCGTATTTAAAAATAAATTGGCATTTTTATTCGGGACTCGGGAAACACCAAATAGAATAGACATTTGTGCATACATAGTGGAGCACAGAAGGAAAATTGTACAGGAAAATGCACATCTCTCTTACAGAATGACAGTAACTGATAGCATTCGAAGCTCCCCTGCTTGTCTGACCTTTCTGGTTTTTCTCTCCACTCAAAAAAAATGCCCCCATGGCCCTGTTTTCTTTCTTTTTGAGTAGCTCTAATTGTTAAGGGGGGCAGAAGGCTTTCTTTCTACCAAGCCTGAATCAGATGCTGCCCTTTCTGCCAGCTGCTCCTGGTTCGGCCTTCTGGACCAAGCCGACCAAAGTCTTCTTCCGCTGGTAGCTCTTCAGCCACCTGGCTGTCATGTGCTGTGGCTTCTTGAGGCTAAAGGGCCAGCTCCAGCTCCTTCAGCCAGTCCTGAAATCAAGGCCCTTCGTGCTTCTCCGGGTTCTCTTTTCTGGAAGCTCTCTGGCTGATCACTGTCCCCTCTGAAATGGTGAAGTCTAGAATTGGATGCGATATTCCCGATAAGGTCTGACCCTGGCTGCCGTACAGCAGAACTCTTAATCTCCCTCATCTTAGACACTTGACCTCCTTAATTCAGTCTGTGATTGACTGCCAGATCACACCATGGGGGCAGGGCTAGGGAACAGAAAGAAAGAGAAGAGAAGAAGCATTTACCTAGCATCTACTCTGTGCCAAGTGCTTTTTACAAATATTTGTTTATTAAAGGTAGGAGCTATTATTATCTCCACTTCACAGTTGAGGAAACTGAGGTAGCAGAGGATAAGTGACTTGCCCAAGTCTCAGATCGAGTTAGCATCTGAGGCCAGAGTTGACCTCATCTTCTTGACTCCCAAGCCAGCATTCTTTGTGACACCAGCTGCCTCACACAGGTGACTGTTCAGCTAGCTGTTAGATAAACTCCCCCCAGGTGTTTTTCAGACATGTTTCTGTCTTGGAGCAGCACCCTCATCTTTTTTTTTTTTTTAAAACCCACATGTAAGAATTTACATTTATCCCTATTTGTTTTTCATCTTACTTGATTCAAACCTGTCAAGGTTTGGGGGGGATCCCAAGTGGATTATACAGTACTAGTTATAACTCCCTGTTCTGTGTCCTCTCCGACTTTAAGGATCTTCCTTATGCCTTTAGCCATGTCACTGATAAAAATATTGAAATGAAGGAGACCAGCTTCAGGGTCCTCTGCCCACGTTGAGATCAGACCCTGAACTGACTCCTCCAGGTCAACCATTCAGCCACTTCTGCCTCCATCCAGTTGTAACGTCCCCTCCTCCACAGCTCTGTCTTCTCCACAAAAATAGCAAAAAAGAGATGTGTCAAAGGCTTGGCTCAGATCTGCGTAAACTCTATCCTTACCATGGGACCCGATCAGGAAGGAAATAAGGTTAGTCTGGTACGAGCTCGCTCCTGGTAATCCCCGCTTCCTATTCTCAGTTCTCCTCACTTGTTGCCTCAATATTTTCCAGGGGTTTGCCAGGGATCAAAGTCAAGCTCTCTACCCTCTGTTTTTGAGATCCCATTCTTTTCCCTTTTCTTGACAATTCGCTCGGCATTTGTCCTGCCTTAGTCTGTCTACTTGTCTTGTGTTCTGAGATCTGTCGAATTATCACCCAAAGTGGGGCAGCAGTCCCTTTTGCCAGTGTTTTTCTGTACTGATAAGTTCATCAAGTTAGGGCTGGCCAGGATGTAGGAGGCCATCTAGTCCAGTCCTGCCCCGAGCCTAGAGACGTGAAGTCGCCTCCCAGGTCAGCATTGAAGTGCACGCCTCTCCAAATTCAGCCACTCATCCCTCTGCCCCACAGCAGACTCTGGGCTCCGGGAGTCGAACTCACCAAGGGCAGTGAGGAGCTCTCTCATCTAACTTATCTTGAGTTTCAGCGTCCTCTTTACCACCTTTTCTTCTCTCCTCCTTCTCTTGGGCAGAGGAAAGAGAAGCAAATTAAAAGTTATAGCTGTCATCTTTCTCCTTTCATCAGTTATCCCAATCACTTCGATTTATGGTTCTTTGACCCTTCTTTGAGCCTTTTTCCCACAGGAGAGCAAAAAAGAAAAAGGTGGTTGTTTTTTTGAAAGCATGCTTAGTTTTCATTGCCTGCATCAGCTTGTTCTGAGATTTAGTATCACGGACAGTTTTCTAACTATACCACGTTTTTGTATTCATCCTGGATTACTTGACCTTGCTTCCATTTTCTGTACTTGATTTTTTAAATCCACGGTGATTAGTGAGTTAGTCTTTCAGACAAGCCTCCTTTTTCCACCTCATCAGAATTGTTTCTCTCTGTTTTCAGGATGTCTACCTAGATAGTTTTTCATCCCTTCGGGTTGATTTTCCCTGTAAGTTAAAGCAACAGACATTTATTAATCACCTACTATATGCCAGACACCATGCCAGGTCCTGGAAAAATTTAGGACGTGGGATCCTATTTATCCCTCCTCGAACACTGATAATTTCAGTCCCATAGTGTAGAGTACATGTCAAACTATTCCTGGCTTTCTCCTTCTCTGTAATAAACTGGAAAAGTTAGAGGTCACTCTTCCTTCTCCCTTCCCCCACTGTAACAGTCATTTCCACTTCAGGAACAAGTTCCCTCTTATTGGTGTCAGTCAGTTGTGGAATAGAATTTCCCATTGGTTCCTTCTTCTGCCTTTGGAAAGATGACATGACTGGGTGCTCTGCTTTTGGCCCAGTGAACCCTTGGACAGATGTCGCGTCTGCATCATGAGAGTGTCCCGTCATTGCTGTCTCACGCCTCTGCCAGATGAGTGACGTATGACCTGGTGGTGTAGCCTCCACGACCCTCTCCACCATTTCCTGACCTCGATGGGCGTATCTTCGTCTTTGTAATAACATTTGGGTTTTATTCCTAATTACATGTATAGACAATTTTTAGCATTCATTTTTTCCAAAGTTTCTCCCTCACTTCTCCCCTCCCTAAGATGGGGAGCAGTTTGATATAGGTTATATATATATATGCAATCATGAAAAACTTATTTCCATATTAGTCACATTGTGAAAGAACATACAGACTCCTCCCCCCAGAATTAAAAAAAAGAAAGGAAGAAAGTGAAGGGTAGCATGCTTTAATCTGCACTCAGACCCCCATCAGTTCTTTCTGTGGAGGTGGGCAGCATTTTTCGTCATGCATGCTTTAGAATTGTCTTGGATCATCGTACTGCTGAGAAGGGCTAAGTCGTTCCCAGTTGATCGTCGTACAATATTGCTGTTACTTGGTACAATGGTCTCCCCATTCTGCTCACTTCACTTTGCATCAGCTCGCATAAGTCTTTCCAGGCTTTTCTGAGAGCATCCTGCTCATCATTTCTTGTATCACAACAGTATTTCATCACAAGCAGATACCACAATTGACGGACATCCCTTCAATTTTCAATTCTTTGCTACCACTAAAAGAGCAGCTGTAAATATTTTTGTACATGTGGGTCCTTTTCCTTTTTCTTTGACCTTTCTGGGATACAGGCCTAACAGTGGTATTGTTGGGCCAAAGGATATGCGCGGTGTTACAGTCCTTCGGGCCTAATTCCAAATGGTTCGACCATAAGCTATCCCCAGCCTGCACTAGATTCAATCTCCCCCCCAAACATCAGGGACAGTTCTGAGTTCACATCTGCCTCCTTGAATTTGGGCTCTCTGCATCTGTATCTGCACACCTGGGCCAAGCTGTCTGAGGTCATTGTTTCTTTTGGAGCATCTGACTCATGGGGCCTTCTGAGCATCCACGTGGCCATTCTATGCACCATGCATATCCTCTCTGGCAGGGTTTGTGTGGATGGTTTTCTCCCTCCTGTTTTAGTTTAGCTCTCCCTCCTAATTAGAGTTACAAGCCTTCAGGCAAAAACATTCTCATTGACCCTTGCATGTTCCTCCATCCTTGTTATGGTCCTGAAATAGAAAACCCAGCCTCAGATACCATGTTCTCTGCTCATTTTCCCAAATGACTTTTGTCTTAGGCACTCTGCCTTTTTTCTGTGGGTGGCAGGAAAAGCATCATCTCTGCCTCCGTGGGCTTCAGTTTCTTGCCTGGCTTCCTAATCTTTGGCACAGTACCTTTGAGGTTCTTTCCAGCAGTACAGTTTGTGCATATGTGAATCACCAGAGACAGAGATAGTCATCTGGTTAGCAAGTCTTGGGAGAGTCTGTCCTATGTTGGATTCATTCTTCCCGGAAAGACAACAGGCCTCTGTTGTCTCTGGATATCAAACCAGCATTACTTTTCTTTTTTTAAAAATTATTTTATTTTGATTTATCAACAATCATTTCCATAAGCTTTTGAGTTTTGCATTTTTCTCCATCTCCCTACCCAAGGTGGCACACCCACCATTACTTTTCTTGTCTTTCTCTGACTTATACTGGATTCTTTCTTCTCCCTCTTTCTTTTCATCTTCTTAAAACAGTGAAGTGTTATGGATAGATTTTTGTTTTCTTATTTCATTTATTTCTGAATAAATCATCCTCCTCCATTGAGCCCTCAGTTGTAACAAAGAAACGCAGTTAATCAAAACTAACTTACACAAGTCTACCACAAAGTAGCAAAGAGAAGCCAAAAAAAAAAAAAGTGGCCAATGTATCTATAGACCCCTCCCCTCTCCACTGAAAAGAAGGTGTGTTTCCTCATCTCTTTTCTGAGGCCACCCTTGTCCTGGCAGCATTTTTATTAAACCATTGATAAAAAGAGTGGGTGGCATAAGTCTAAGGGTAAGAGCCTAGGAATCTCCCACCTGAGTGCTTCAAAGGTGAACATCGAGTCCCCAGTCAGCCAGGGAAGCTGCAGCTGGGCCTTGGGACTAAAGCTTCTGGTTCTGGTGGGTTTGTGATTTGAGTTTCCCAGAAGCTAAAGTTTGAGTCTTTGCTTCTATTTAAAGGTCAAAGCATGAAGAAATTGAGCTGGTAAGTATGGAAGAGTTTTATCAGGAGGCCCCTCCTGAGATCAGCAAGTCTGAGATCACCATGGGGGACCCTCACCAGCAGACCCTTGCTCGCCTCGACTGGGAGCTGGAGCAGCGGAAGAGGTAAACGCGATTGCTGTGTCCTGGGGAAGGATGCGCCGTGTCACCAAGGCATCGGATGCTTTACCTTCCTCCGTCTCCAGGATTCAAAGATAGTTTAAGTTAAGGTCTGCCTGTGTCGTTGTCAGAGACCCGGCAGCCTTGTCTCAGGCTCCTCTTTCCCTGCTTTCTGATTAGATGTCTCTGTTTTGAGAGATTGTTCTGTGATTCTGGTCGTTTGAAGTCATACCACGTCTTCTGAAAGACTTGAGAGCCTGTCCCTGGGCCTTGTGTTCTGTGGTTCCTTTGGTTCTCACCGACGTCCGAGGAGGCGGGGGCCAATACCCCCCTGGCCTGAATAAGCTTAAAGTCTAATGGGGAGGGTGAGACATACACGGATGACTGGCGTGAGTCAGGATACAGTTGGTGTGTGAGAGAGGCAGACCCCAAGGCCATGAGGGGGCTTAGCACAGGAAGCCTTCAGTCTTGTGATCCGGGCTCTCCTTTCAGTCCGAGCTGTTGAGCCTTGTTGCTCTTGCCAGTAGACTGTAGCCATCCCACTCACCGGGAACCCGGGTCTGTCAGCCCCATCACATCCTGGCCTCGCCTTGGCCTAGCCCTCTACTCTTTAGAAACAGCCTTTCCAGAGCCCCCAGGAAATAGAGAGCACATGTACTCTTCCCTTATTGCCCTTCGTCACACAGCCACGAGGTGTGAGGGCTGGTATTCAGGCCCCCTGGGTGCCTCTGCACTGTTGGACCAGGAGACAGGACAGTTCCAGGATTGAATCCCACCTCCAGCACTTACTAATTTAATTGTGGAACCATAGGCAGTTTCCTTCTCTTGGGAGGAGAGGCCCTGAGGGCCTCTGTTTCCTCATCTATAAAGTAGCACCTCCAGGTTGTTGAGGACCCAGTGAAGTCATGGATGGAAAACATTCCGCACACCTAAAACCACCGTAGAAGTGTCAGCTGCAATGTTGTCCTTCCCCTCTAGCACAGAGTAAAATTGTGACTGGGCTCCCCACGCCATCTGACCCGTGCCTCTGTGACATTGTGGGCACCTAGAACTGAACGGACACATCGACCAGGCCGGGCAGGGGGAGTTGTCCCTGAATGGAGCCTCAGAAGAATGTTCCTCAAGATTCAATCTGAACTTGTTGTAATTTCCTCCATCAGGTTGGCAGAAAAGTATAAAGATTGTCTGGCCAATAAAGAGAAAATCCTGAAGGAGATTGAAGTCAAGAAAGAATACCTGAGCAGCCTTCAGCCTCGGCTTAACAGCATCATGCAGGTAAGTCCTCCCAGACCTGCCCTCTCACCTGCTGAAACCGAGCCCTGGGCCTTCTCCGTCCCGATGATTCTGCTGGCCAGGTACTTGGGTGGAGCCCTCAGATCGTTTTAGCTCCTCTGCTCCGTCCTCTTGGGGCTGAGATCTTCCCGTTACGGGGTCAGGCAGCCTTTGCTGAGCCCATCGAAAAAGGGAATGCGTGCGTGTGCAGGCATTAGGGGCTTATTCACAGACTCTTCTTTACCACTTTTTCATTAACATCAATTTATGGATTGATGTAGGGGAAACACTCAGTCTCCAGCACGTTTTAGTAAGTGCCAGGCACTCTGCTAAGTAGTGACTGATAACGGTGGCTGCTCAGTCCTCTGGGGATGGGATGTAAGTTGTAGGGTTAAATCGTAAGGAAAGAAGAGGCAGTTGTGGTACTGTGGAAGCTGCCGGAGTCTGTGAGGCATCCCCAGAGCCCCAGAGAGATCATTGGCAAGTTGGGGTGCTTGGGCACAAGTTGGTGAATGAGAGATTCATGATCTCATGCTGCTGGCTGGCTGGCTGGTGGGGACCACTTCAAAAGACTTCTTCCTCTGCAGCCATGGACCCAGGCTCGATTCCTTCCTCTGCAGCCAGTCGGTGTCCTCTCGCAGTTACAGTTATTTTCAGGGCAGTGTCCCAAGCCATGAAGAGGGGAACCCTTCTAGTCCAGAATAGGATAGGAGTAACGGCCGAACAAAGACCTGCAAGGCTGGGGCCTCTTGAAAATGCTGGCCCCCTGGCTTGTGGTACTTGAATGTTTGTGAGGACTGGACAGTCAGTTTGGTGACAGCATTGTGAGAGTCTAGAGTAAAAATGCCTTTATGTTGGGATTGCAGAGGCTGCATCACAAGTCAGCCATCGGAGGGGCAGGGGCTGTCTTAGCCGCTGGAGGTTTTGGCTCTGTGCTCAGGGGAGGGTCTTTGATGAAAAGCTGTGAGAGTATCAGTCTCCCCGTTAAGGGCAGTGAAGGATACAGCCAATGATCCTAAAGGAGTTCTAACGTTTAGACCTCTCCTAGCCACCCATTCGACCCTGGAAACCTCAGGTATGGGACAACTAGAGGTTGTGTCCCATCCTCCCTCCGGCCAAGCCAGGCCATCCTGTAGAAACATTCCATTCAGAAGTAGTCAGGATCCGAGGGTGAGGCTGGTCTGAACTAGCACCAGGGGAGTACCTTGAAACAAGCAGGGGAGTCACTTTGAAGTTACAGAGAGGCAGATTCAACCACCTTTATTAAGTGCTTGCCATGTGCTCCACCCTGTGCTTCATGCTGGGGTATGAAGAAAGGCAAATCCGTGGTCCCCGTTCTGTCCTCAAGGAGTAGGAGAGTCAACACACAAATAACTCTGTATGTGTGAGGTGGTTAAAGGTGAAATTTGGGCCGTGTAGAAGGGGAGGTGGGGACCTGACGTTGGGACGTAGGCTGGAGGGAGCAGCCTTGGGGTCCAGACTGGAGGCCGTTGAGCAGAGGCTGGGTGAGTTGGAGAAAGGAAGGGATTCCTGCTCAGGTACCAGATGGACTGAGTGACCTCCAAGGTCCCTGTGAGTCTGGGTATTCTCAGCCACTGTGACCAAGGTGATCACTGGTGCCAGGGGCCCTTGGGAGGAGTCACAGGATTTGCACGGGATTTCGCTAGCCCTCTGCTTCAACCAGGATGATCACGTCAGGCACATGCCTGACCAGTAGTGGTCCAGCCTCTTTTTTGAGACTGCCTGTGAGGAGAAAATCAGTGTGGCCCAAGGCAGCTCACTGTGCTTTTGGAGAGCCAGAACGTTAGACTTTTGTCTGACATTGAACCAGAATGTGTCCCTGCAGTGAGCCCGGACTGGCATCAGGAATGGTGCCTACCCGAGGCACTCCACGTGGCCCCGCGACCTTGCCAGGCCCTTCCTGTCTGGGTTGTGCCGCAGGGGCTCTGCCGTGCTGGACAGCCGTGCTCGCAGCTGCGGCTGGAGGAGGCAGGCTGGGGCTGCCAGGCTCCTCCTTTCCCACAAGGACAAACTATTCTGGTCTGACATTTTTTCAGTTAGAGGCAACGTGGCATAGATAAGATTACAGAGAATGCTGGTCTTGGCAACAGGACGATGTGGGTTCAGATCCTGCCTCTAACATTTGACCAGGCAAGGCCTGGTTTTCCTCAACCTCCTCTCCCTCTCCCAAGGGACAGGTTGGTTGTGATGGGATTGTGAGGTACTTCCCCCCAGGCCAGGGGACAGTGTGGCCTCAGAACCAATCTGGGCAGTCCCTGACAGCAGCTGGTTTAGGATGGGTCACTTCTTGTTTCTCTTTTGGTCAGGCCTCACTCCCCGTGCAGGAGTACCTCTTTATGCCGTTCGACCAGGCGCACAAGCAATATGAGACTGCCCGCCACCTTCCCCCACCCCTCTATGTGCTGTTTGTGCAGGCCAGTGCTTACGGTCAGGCGTGTGGTAAGTATCTGGAAGCAGGGGTGGGCTCAGGAAGGGCTAGATTCAGGTATCCAGGTGGCCTCGTCGAATTTCACAGCTCCTTGCAGAAAAGGCATGCCCCTGGCAGCATTTGGGGGTTCTCAGGTGTTGCTTCCCTCACAGTTGGGTGGCTTTCTCCCTCCCCTCCCAGCGTGGAGGCTTCTCCTTGGCTGTCCCAGACGCTGAGCAGGGCTGGAGGAAGCTGATGAAGCAGCAGCCTTTGAGATGCCCTTGCCTTTGAGTTTGGCAAGGTTGGCGAGCCTCAGAGGCAGGGGGGTGGGCCGGGGCTGTGTCCTTCATCTCCCGAGGAACTCTCGCCCCCTCCCCGCTCATCAGTCACCAGCTGCCACGTCGGCATTCGCTTCTGCTCATATCGTAGCCAGTGCATGCTTGATGCCCGGAGGCATGTTGTCAGTGAAAGGATGGGGAGAAGGTAATGCGATTCTGAACCTGGGAGTGCTTGGCACTCTGGGCCGGCCACCTCTCCAGCCCCTGAGGCTGCCGAGAGGCCTGATGGCACTTCCTCTTGCCTGCCTGCCAAATGAAGGCTCTGCCCCGCATGCAGCATAGGGCCTCTCTCCCCCTCTGACTGGGCACCGGTGCAGTACTGCATTACTGCCTCTTTTCTTGAGTCTTCTCTCCTTTCTGTCTCCTTTTTTCCCCTCCTCTTCTGTCCTGTTTTCTACATTAGCTTACATGAAACCTTCCTCTCAGCCCCCTAGACAGGGTGAGTATATTTCTTTTCTTGTGTCTTTCACAATAAGCCCACCCCCCTTATCCATTTTCCTGATAGAACCCCAAGCATGGGACTGCTCAGAAGGCCATTTTCCTGATAGAACCCCAAGCATGGGACTGCTCAGAAGGCAGCCAAGGACGTCTGTCCAGTGCCCTGCGACGTTACTGGTTTTCAGTAGTCTCGGGGTGGGCTGGACAGCAGTGACTGGCCACCCCTTGAGACACTGTCTCGATGGTTTGGCATCCTGGGAATTTTCTTGGCCCACTTAATATGGAGAACTGAGACTCCCTTTGACTGTGCTAGAGCCCGCAGAATGGGAGAAGTCAGAAAATTCGGAGCTGTGGGATTGCTGGCCTTTCACTTACCAGTCTGACCTCCCATCTTACACCTGTGGAGTTCAGGCAGGCCTCACGGCCAGGTGGGGAAGAGGACACAAAGTCAAGAACTGGGCTTGAAGCTGTGGTTTCAGGCCGCTGTAGGCAGACTCTCAGGGTGGGAGCTCACAGGCCTAATAACAGGAGAATTCCTGGGGCATTTCATCCAGACCGTGACCTGTGCTGGACGGAGAGGAGTTCGCTTACTGCCATCTACGGTGCCTCTCTCTCCTGGGGCATGTCCTGGCCTTCTGTTCTCCTCATGTGGTGGGCCAGCTTTCCCTAGTTCTTTAGAGGCTCCCTGATTGCCGGCCCCCAGGAAACCTCTTTATACAGTGATTAAGTCATAGTTCTTGAGTTCTGTGGGCCTAGGGTTCCACTAGGTTGACCTGAAGTGTTGCTTTTTCAAATTGCCTTCAGATAAAAAATTGTCTGTGGCTATAGAGGGCAGTGTGGAAGAAGCCAAGGCCCTGTACAAACCCCCCGAGGATTCTCAAGGTAAAGGCTCAGCTCGATTTGTTTTTCCCCTTCCCCTTCCTCCCTTGCTTCAGTCTGAAACCATCTCGCCACATCTGGTTCCGTGGCGTCCAGAGGTTAGACATGTTGACCATGGGACTGGGCCTGGGATGTCTCCATGCTCCCGCAGAAGGGGTCTAGAGAAGGAGGCGGCCCAGGGCCTCGGGAGGGGGTGCAGAGGGCCTCATGGCTCTTAGCGAGCCCTCAGGGCAGCCCCGGCTTCTCTCTGCCTTCTCTCTTTGGATGCAGATGACGAGAGCGACTCAGATGCTGAGGAGGAACAGACCACAGTAAGAGCCCTGCCGCGGGGATCCGGAGCTGAGGGGCAGCGTGGGGGCCGACGACTTGCCCAGCGGGGAGGCTGAGGAGGCCGAGGCAGCAGTACTGAGGAGATGGTTTCTGCTCTTTTGTCCCCAGAAACGTCGACGCCCCACCCTGGGTGTTCAGCTGGATGACAAGCGGAAGGAGATGCTCAAGAGACACCCGCTGTCTGTCATGCTCGACCTCAAGTGCAAAGGTGAGATGGCTGGAGGTCCCAGGACAAGGCCTTGGGGCAGCGGGCCTGACGTCGCACACAGCTGGAGAGAGGCAGAATCTGGATTCGGCCCCAGGTCTCTCCTGACACCAAGTCCAACGCCTTCCATGCTGCCTCTGAGGTTTGAGGGTTGGAAGTGGTGGGAGAAGAGTTTCTTTCCCACAGCTCAAATAGATGAAACTCATCCCTGGATGAGCTTTTCTGCTCTTCCCATTGTGGGGTGGTGGAAGGAATCCAAGCCTGGCCGGAGGAAGTCCCGGTGTGTCCCCTGGCTCACCGCGCATTTGCCGGCCTTGTGGCCTGGTGCCCGTTTCCTCCCATTAGCTGAGCACATTGGCTTAGGTAGGCCACGTCTGTGGTCCGCCACGTCTGTGACACCCCACCCCACCCCTGCAGATGACAGCGTGCTCCATCTGACGTTTTACTACCTCATGAACCTCAACATCATGACTGTGAAGGCCAGAGTGAGCACTGCCACAGAGATTGTCACTCCAGTCAGCGCAGGGTACGTGTTCCCAAAACTCAAGTTGTTGGGGGTGGGGGGCACCTCTCTGTCCCAAAAGTGTGTGCCCCCACCATCACCCCCCAGCCTCTAGCAGAGCAGCAGGCCCACCTGCCCATGCAGGTGCCCACTGACCGCAGCCAAGGCCTGCTCTGGTGGCAGAAACTCTCGAGTGGCACCTCTAGGCCTTAGTCTTAGGGAAAGGTTCTCTGCCATCTTAGCTTTCCTGGGACATCCCGAGGGGTGCCGGTGTTCTCCCTGGGCTCACCCGTAGCGGCCAAGCCCAGCCCTTGGCAGGGGGCAGGCAGGAGGGCGGGCTGGCTGGGGCCTTCCGTATTGGTGTGAGTGCAGTGGAGAAGAGGGACTCTGGGTGCCTGGGCAGATGCCATGCTCATGGAGAAGGGGGAGCCCCCTTTCAGCTGTGCTGGAGTGCCATCCTCTTCAGGAGACTTGGTTACAGTTGCCTCCATTCTGTCCTTAGTCCATCAGAGGGAGCCCAAGCTTCCCAGAAGCTGCTAGGCTCTTTATCCCGGGAGCCACTGAGGGGCCCTTGGGGCTTGGGGGCCATTCAGCTCTCTCGGCTCATCCATTTCTGATCTCTCAGCTATAAAAACAATTAGAGGAGATACCCCATAAATCCAGCTGGAAAGCAAGTGGTGCCGTGAAACATCTCCCCTCAGTCGGGGGAAGGGACACGCTTCCCCTTCCTTTGGGATGAAATGGATGTTCTGTTTGCCTGCGGGGCGAGAGAACGGGGCCAGCTCTCTTCTGCCTGTCACACTTAATTATTTTCTGTCCCAGCCCTTGTGCGTAGTGGCAAGGTCAGTGTTGCCAGCTCTCTGTTCTGGTTTGTTGGGTCACCTTGTCTCCAGTGCGGAAGATAATGTCTCTTCCCTCAGGGGGTCTGGAGTGGGCAGGGGCTGTGCTTGCTGTCATTAGCTTGAGATTGGGCTTACACTGCCAATGAGAGGCAGACGTGACACTTGGAGTTCAGCAGAGAGTTTAGCCTTCAGTACCACAGACGTGTGGTGCAGAGGGGTCTGCCCACGGAGTGCCAAGCAACGTGTTCAGTCTGCATTGTCCTTGGTCCGGGTCACCTGAGCATGCTGCCCTCTGAGGCGGGATGGCCAGGCCACCACGTTGATTATCCTGCCATGTGTATGTTTCCTAGCAAAAAGGAGAATGATCATCCCTAAATGCCTCTCTGGGAGCAAGATGTTGGTCAGGGACCTGACCTTTCATCCCATCTCCACCTAATGACCCTGGAGAGTCCCCTTCCTCTTTTGCAGACTAGGATTATGGACGCTTGCATGCCCCATCTCACAGGTGGTGAGAGATCTGAGAATGTGTGTGTGAAAACCTGCTCTAGGATCCTGCGGCTCTTTGGTGCAGGGCCCTGGGTTAGGCTGAGGGCACTGGAAGGCAGGAGCTGCTCTCGGGAGCTCCCGGGCCGTGGGCACAGACCGGGAGCTGCTGTTGGCTGTCCTCACACCTCTCCCTCCCTCTTCCTAGTGACCTGCTGTCTCCTGACATGATCTTAAGCTGCCTGTATCCTGGGGATCACGGCAAGAAGACCCCCAACCCAGCCAACCAGTACCAGTTTGATAAAGTCGGGTAAGTTGGCTCAGGTAGTGGTTCCCACTGGGCCTCTCTCCTGAAGTCTGTGGGGGTCCGAGTTTCCAGTGGAAACATCTTAAGACTCTTTGAATAAGTAGTGTGTCAGAAGGGCAGCAGTACAGGTGACTCCCTGAACTTCCCTCAGCTCAGAGGACTAAGGCGTGGCATGCTGGGAAGCGTGCTGGCCTGGGCATTGGGAGATGTGTGTTTGAATCTTGGCTCGGACGCTTAGCTGTCACTTAACTTGGAGAGCCCTCAGTCTGCTCTGTAAAAGAAAGGTAACAATGTTTGCACAGGAGAGCTACCCTTACACGGTAGGATGGAACGGAGAGCAAAGGTGGCCCTTTTCCTTGGGAGTCAGGGGGCTGGGCACCTTTTTGGTAGATTCAGAGCAAGTGGGTTAAGACTGATGGAACGAGAGTGAAGAGCCAATCCTCGTCAATTTGACGGTTACGAGAGGACGCTTCGTACAATCAAACAGGCCTAGCGTCCCAGGACGCCGCTATAGAGCTGGAAGGGAAAGGAGGAACTGTAAAGTCCAGCCCTTTCATGTTAACAGATGGCAAAGGCGAGGCCCAGAGAGGGCAAGTCGGGTCACACAGCTTGTGTCTTCTGGGAACGATTTGACCCCAGGTCTTCCTGCCTCCACGTCCAGTGTGCTGTCCTTCAGCCATGCTGGCCTTCTGTGGGCTCAGGTCTGAGGGAAAGACTCGGAGAGGTCCCGTCCCACGTGGGAGCCGTGACCCGGCCACTTCCCTCCATAAGCCTGTGAACAGATGGAGGGCAGTGTCACTCACACACTCACACATACACACACATACACACTCACACATACACTCGCAAATACACTCACACACTCACACATACACACACTCGCACATACATATACACTCATACACACATACACACTCACACATACACACACTCACACATACACACACTCACACATACACTCACATACACACACTCGCAATACACACTCACATACACACACTCACATACATACACAGTCACACATACGTACACACATATACATACACACATATACATATATACATACACTCATAGTCACACACATACACACACTCACATACACTCACACATACACACTCACATATACACACATACACATGCTCAACCACGTGCACACACACTCATACATACACACTCAGTCACACACATGTACACACACACATACATACACACACTCACAGTCACACACACACACACACACACACACACACACACACGGTGGTCCATGGCTGCACCAAAGGACACTCTTTCCAAGAGTCCTTGGAAGGGAGATATCACTCTGTACTGGGGTGGAGGAGGGGAAGGCGCAGGGATGTCCTCTTGGAGGAGGACATCGTAGTTAAAGCCTCAAGGTCGGAAAAGGATCTTGCCAATCCTCTGCTCTCACCTTTTACAAATGAGGAAACCGAGACCCATCCAAGTAGCTTGCCCGTGGCCATGTGGCTGGTTAGGGGCCATGTCCCCAGGGAGAGCCACACTGGGGCAAGGCCAGAGGGAAGAGAAGAGGTGGGGTCTGAACGAGTGGCCTCTCAGAGAGGGGAGGGAGGGGCAGGGCGGCCCTGAGAAGAGGCCCCAGCATTGACGGAAATGACCTGTGTTGTTCACTGCAGCATCTTGACCCTGAGCGACTATGTGCTTGAACTGGGGCACCCCTACTTGTGGGTGCAGAAGCTGGGGGGCCTGCACTTCCCCAAAGAGCAGCCACAGGTACGTATGCTGGGTAGGGCTCAGCCCCAGGGGTACCATGGCACAGGCTGGCAGTGTTCCATATCTTTCCCCACGAGCTCCAGAGCATGGCAGGGTAGCCCTCCTTGGAAGTAAAGCTGCTTGGGCTTCCTGGCTAGGGGAGTTGGAGGCAGCTTTGGGCTCTCGACTCTGAATTGAAGTGATCTGCTGGGCACAGGAATGTGGGCACGGCATTTGCTGCTCTCATCTCTGCCATGACTAGCCTCTTATGGAAGAACTGGAACTGTCCCTCAGGAAACCTGGGACATGATATTCATGGCTGAATAGTCATTAATTGATTGATTCATCAGCTTTTTATGAAATCACTGTGTGTCAAACCTCCCTTAAAGTCCTCCTCGGGCATCTCCTGGGAACTTGGAGATTGAGCCTCAGTCAAGACCCTGGCCTTCTAAAGCCTCCTGGCTCTGAGTCCAGCCCCCTCTGCCAGCCTGCACGAGCTGGGGCCTGGAGACCATCCCCGCCCCTCCGAGGGAGGGTGTGGAGGGTGTGGAGAGGGCAGTGCTGGGCACTGACATGGGCCTGTCCCTCCTCAGCACACGGTGACCGCGGACAACTCGCTGAGCGCCAGCCACATGGAGACCACCATGAAGCTGCTGAGGACGCGGCTGCAGGCCCGCCTGGCTCTCACCAAACAGTTTGCTTCATTGGGTAGGTCTGGCGTCAAACTAAACTTTGGGCGGCACCTGGGCTCGACATCGCCACAGGGGCTTGTCTTATTCTCCAGAAATTCCTCATCCTGATCTTCCCTGCCCCTCAGCTCAAACTGACCTTCCACGGCCTGCCGCGGGTGCATGGGCAGAGAAGGCGGGGCAAGGTCATTGACAGGGAAGCTGGGGTGCAGCTCCCACCTCCTCCCCTGTGCTGGGTCAGGGATGCCCTTGTCCATTCTCGGGGAGGCCTGAGGCCTGGGCTGCCCTCAGCAGACAGAATCATGGGCATGGGAAGGGAATTTCTGCCGAGTTTGGGGGATTGATTCAGGCTCAGGGTGGGGTTGCAGCCCCCCAGCTCTGACCCTGCGGTGACCACTTTGGCCTGTCCCCCGTGGGTCTGAGTCCCAGCAGCTCTGTGACTCATTAGTGCGAAAGCCCCTCCCTGGTTTGTCTGTGTGTGGAAACTTAACTCACGCGGTGTCCCTGAGGGCCACCCTGGCCTCTTCCACCTGCCCAGAGAAAAACTGAGGCCCAGGGAGTACTGAGCCAGGGGGGTTTCATTTTACTGGCCAGTGTTTGCTGTCAGAAGCAATGAATATCTGATTTTTCTCACAGTGGAGCCATGTCAGGTGCGGAGGTCCAACTGTCTGTCCTGAACATTGGACACAGGTAATGACGAGGGCACCGCCGAGCTCCTGCCCGTGCTCCTGGAGCCCCGTCCGAGGCAGCCAGAGGCTCCCGGCTCAGCTCGACTACCAGGTCCTCTCGTCCCATCACCCTTCTGTCTCTCTTTTTTCTTAAAGAGCACGGCATTGTGCCGGTCACCAGTGAGTGCCAGCGCCTTTTCCCTGCAAAAATCGTGTCCCGCCTCGTGAAGTGGGTGGCAGTTGCCTATGAGGACTACCTGGTACGTACTGGGAGGGAGGGAGAGAGCTTGTTCTGCCATGAGCCTCCACAAGTGCAACTTGGAGGACAGACACACACGCTCAGACGCACGCATACGGGCGCGCTCCCTCCCTCCCACCCCCACGAATCACTGACTTCCTCTCTCCCCTGTTGCGTTGCAGAATCTGCCTTACACCCGGGACATTGCAGAGGCTGGGCTGGCGGAGGACACACACCTGTACTACCTGGCGCTCATCGAGAGAGGGACAGGTAGAGTTGTCTTCCCTTCCCTTCCCCCCTCCCCCACTAGCTGTTTGCTCAGAGCTGTGGAGATCAGGCCCTCCTTTGGGTGACCTGAGGTGAGTGAAAGTCAGGCCCCCTTTCCCCGAGCCAATAAGGAGCCTCGAGGTGCTGCCATTTTGTAACGCCTCCCAGCCTGGCCCTGGCATCACTGTCCCGGCGGGTGGCAGGTTCTGGCTCTCGTGAGCGCCTCGCTGCTCAGAAATAGCTCTGGGTGGTTGCCCTTCCCCACCGCCTTTGGAGGAGTCTGCGTGTGCTTCTCCCACCTCCTAGATGACCCGGCTCGTGCCCTGGTCTTACCGTAGTCGGGGGCACGCCCCAGGGGTCAGGGGAGCCAGGGACCCTGAGCCCTCGGAGCGTGGCTTCTCTGTGAAGCGCACCTCCGTGGGGGATGAGCTGCTTGTGCTGCCCTTTCCCAGAACAGACCCCCTACCCCCAACCCGACTTCCCACGGGTTTCAGGTCAGCCCGGACACAGGGTGTGAGTGTCGCTGCTGACCGGCCAAGGGCTTTTCTTTGTCACGTGATTTGTGTCTCCTCTCTGTCTTCACAGCCAAGCTTCAGGCGGCTGTGGTGCTGAACCCAGGCTACTCCTCCATCCCACCCATTTTCCGACTTTGTCTGAACTGGAAAGGAGAGAAGACAAGCAGCAATGACGATAACATTCGGGTAAGGGGTGGCCAGTGCAGTGGCTAGCTCTGTGGGGGGAGGGCGACTCCCTGGGGAGCGGGACCTCAGCAGCCTCCATGCACCCCCGCAGTCCTACCCCTCAGGCTTTGCAGCCTGTGTCTGCGAGACCCCGCACTGGCTGCTCTCAAGCCTAACCCAGCCCCTGACTGGGTTCAGAGAGGCTGGGCCCATGAAGATAGACTGGGGAGGTCTGCCCGCTGCTGTCACAGCCCTGGGCAAGGACAAGAGGAGGGTTCCTGGCCTTGGCCACGTGGTGGGGGCAGGCATGAGGGCAATTGGCCGCTTTGGGGAACGTCAGGCTCCCTGGGCCAGGCTCGGGCACCGCAGCTGAGGCTTACTCATTAGTGACAAGGCGTGTGTGTCCGTCACAGGCCATGGAGAGCGAGGTCAGCGTGTGCTACCGGGAGCTTTATGGCCCCAAGCCTGGCCATCAGCTCCTGACCAATCAGCTGCAGCGCTTGTGCGTTCTGCTCGATGTCTACCTGGAGACGGAGAGCCACGATACCAGTGTGGAAGGGCCCAAGGAATTCCCCCAGGAGAAAATGTGTCTCCGCCTGGTCAGGTGAGCAGGCTGGGCTTGGGGGGACAGGCCTGGTGGGAGTGACCGTGCTGTCACTAGAGGCCACCCCGGCAGTTAGAGAGAAGGCCAGCCTTTCAGCTTAGCCCGAAAATACGACAAAGCAGGTGCCAAGGGCCCTCGGCATGACCCCAAGGATGTGCCTGTTTGCCCGACCTCAAAGGGCATCCCTCCCACTATCCTGGTCCCCACATCAGGCTCTGTTGCATCGGGGGCATCTTCCCCTGCCTCACGGCCTCTACCCTGGGCAGCTGACTCTGGGCCTCGTGAGTGATTTGGCCCATGGCACAGCAGGACAGGTACTTTCCATAGACCATGCTCTTTTTTCCTAGAGTAGATTTCAAATCCTTTGACATGAATTTTGAGTATTTTTTCTGTCTCTTTGGTGCAGAAATAGGCAGGAGCAGTGATAAGGAAGGAGAGGCTTAGAACCCGGTTTCCATGTACTCATTGCTTCTTCCCTGTACGGCTGTCTTCCTCCTTGCCCCATCCTGAAGGAGGAAATCCTGGCATCTGCCCTGCCTCTCTTTGGTCCACAGACAGAAAAGGCTCAGCAGAAATCTGCCCCCTATCTGACATCTTTGAGAAGTACCCATCAGGGTCCGGCTCTGCCAGGCTGAGGAAAAGGGTTCTCCCCTACTGAGCTGCTTGGTGCCCCCAGTGAATGGCTGGATGTTTTCTTTGCTTTTTCCTTCCCTCCCACTTTCTTTCTCTTTTTCCCCTTCACTTCCCATCCTTCCCTCCCTCTCTCTCTCTGCCAGTCTCTGTCTTTCCCTCAGCCCTTCCTACCAGCCTCACAGCCTGTCTTCACAGTCCTAGCTCTTTCCAAGGAGTTCCTGAAGGACCCCTCCTTTCTTTTAGCAGGACGCCTGTCCTCCAAGTCGAGCCATTTCTGGCAGGGAAACTTTCACTGGGTAACAGATCTAGTGAGCCAGGGGCTGAGAGGGCATGAAACCACCTGGAGGATCGGGTTTCTATCTCAGATCTCCTGGAAATGAGATTGTTGCTGACAGCTGGAATTGGAGCTAGGGACTAGTGTGGGGCAGGCACAAAGTTGAGGGTCAGGAGGCTTGGGTCCTGGTCCTGGTTCTGCCCTGAGGGGCCCTGTGACTTTGGGCAAATCATTGGCTGTCATTGTCCACAATTCTGAAATGAGAAAAGTGCACCAGCTGCCGTGAAGCTCTTTTCCAGCTCCGAAATTCTGTCCTGTGGCTGTTCACCCTCCTCCTCCTCTCCCTTCCCCGCCCCATCCCTGTAGCAGCGAAGGGACCTTGTGGGCTCTCCAGGCAGGCCCCCATCTTCCCTTAGGAAACGTGTGCTCAGGGCCCTCAGATTCTCGTTTATGTCTTAAGCATTTTTGGGTCTTTTTTTTGTTTTTTGGGGTTTTTTTTTGGTAAGGCAGTTGGGGTTAAGTGACTTGCCCAGGGTCACACAGCTAGTAAGTGTCAAGTGTTTGGTCTGAGGCCGGATTTGAACTCAGGTCTTCCTGACTCCAAGGCCAGAGCTCTATCCACTGCGCTACCTAGCTGCCCCTGTGTCTTAACCTTGCACATTAAACAGCAAAGTGACTCTGGCGCTGCTGGCGGCAGAGCGCTCGGAGCAAATGCGTGCCTCTTTTCCCAGGGGGCCCAGTCGGATGAAGCCCTTCAAGTACAACCATCCACAGGGATTCTTCAGCCATCGTTGACCAGCAGACCACCTTCCATCCGTCCATCCGTCCGTCCATCAAGCATCCAGCAGGGTTCCAGAAGAACCAGCAGTGGGTGGGCACGAGGCTTCCATACCACGGGCGTGACTTGTGTGCTTCCCCAGGTCTTCTCAAGTCAATTTTGTATTTTTAATGTATTAAATATGTCCCTGGGTGAAGCGAGCTCAGTCCTCTGCATGTCTGTGTGAAGGGTCCCGTCCTTGGCGGTGGGAAGGGGATGTCGGCAGACTCTGGTTTGCTTCCAGCCTAACCAAGCTGGGGGCTGGGTTGCTGCTGTGCCGTGCCCCCTCGGGCTTCCTCCGCCGCGTCCACCCTTAACTCTGCTTATGTGGTGTGTGAAGTGCTGTGCTTGGGCTCCCTCAGTGAGGCCTCTCAATTCTGGTTGGTAAGGGACCCGCCCACGTTGGCCCAAGGCACGACCACCCCACCTTCACCAGCTCTCCTTCCCTGGTCTGGCAGACTTCTCATTCTGCTCGATTCCACCGTTAGACTCGTTTTCTCTCTGCCTTTGCTGTGATTCCATTAGGATTGTGGATTGAAAGTCTCTGCCCTTCCGCATGCTGGAAGGGCCCCATTTGCTCAGGAGCAGCCGCTGCTTCCTTGTCCTTAGTTTCTCCCCGGCCCTTGAGGCCCCCGCGCTGAAGCCATGGCCAGCATCCCTCGCCCAAGCCGGCTGCATCCCCTTGCGGCCTCACTGCTGCGTGTGCTGAATAAGATGGAAAGAGAGCCTAAAAATAGCATCTTAATGGAACCCGCACTGCAGCCTCGACTTCTATTCTTGGCTGGAAGACAGGCCACTGAGTCAGCAGCCAGAGCGAGAGCTCAATTGGGAGCAGCCCGGGATGGGCAGGAGCTCCGCAAGGAGGCGCTGGCTCCCGTGGCCCGACGGGCCCCTGGCTGCTGCTGGGGGACGATGCTCCAGAGCGGTCTGCCTGCTTCACGGGAGCCGAGATGAGAAGAAAGAAGCAAGTCTCTGTCCAGGGGAGCAGGGGCTGATGTGTGATGTAGAAGTGACCTCAGAACGTTTAATTAAACTGTCCCGCCACCCCGAGGCAGTGGGGTGAAGTGACTTGCCCAATGTCACACGGCCAGTAAGTTGTCAAGTGTCTGAAAACAAATTTGAACTCAGGTCATCCTGAATCCAAGGCTGGTGCTCTCCACTCTGCCATCTAACTGCCCCCTAAAATTATGATGTTCCTAATCTTTGATTAGTTTACTTATTTTCCTTTTATAAGTATGAATGTTTAGAACAACTCATTCATTTTTTCTTTTCTTTTGGTGAGGCAGTTGGGGTTAAGTGACTTGCCCAGAGTCACACAGCTAGTGAGTGTTATGTGTGTGAGGGGATTTGAACTCAGATCCTCCTGACTCCAGGGCTGATGCTGTATCTACCGCACCACCTAGCTGCCCCTAAACCTCTTTTTACAGATGAGGAAACTGAGGCCCACAGGGCCCAAGTGACTTCCCTGAGGTCACTGAGCTAGTAGCTGAGTAGCACCATTCAGACCTGAGTCTTCCAACTCCCAACCCACTGTGTGGGCTCTGTTCCCCAGTTCTGTGTAGTGTATGTTTCTCCCCATGGATTAATAGGGATTTGTGAAGAGAGGGGCTCCTGGGATAGGAGTCACTAAAGTATGCCCAGCCCATGATAGGAAAGGACCCTCGAGAGCCAGGGCTGAGCCCAGGCCGGCTCTGGGGGAGCCCCTGGCTCCAGTGAGATCCTTAGAGATCAGCAGGTAGGGGAAGCTGCAGGCACCTGAGGGCCTCCCTCCCTCCATTCCCCACCTCATTCATTACACAGATACTCGATTTCTCACCTGGCCTCCCAGGTCTCTCTCACAGCTAATTCGAGGCCATTGCCCAAAGATACTGAGAAAAAGCAACACCTTCAACTTTCCCCAAAGGCTGCCCCTCCCAGATTTTGAATTTTCATGGTGTTGATCCCAAGCCTTTTCTTTGCCCCTTCTGTGGAGGAGGACCATGAGTGAATTGGAATCCTCTGGATTTTAACGTTGCCCCTTATGTTGACTCGGCATTTGGACTTTCCTCGTGACGAAGAAGACCACGAAGCACAACCAAGTGAGAGAACTGAGTCTAAAAGCACAAGCTACATCCGCATCCACAGCCCCCCACCTTGCTACCAAGAGGAGCGGGAGCCGGGGATTTCATCGTAGTCTGCAGTCAAGATCAGTCACCACGTTTAATCGGAGTTGGCTGCCTCTTAGCTCCGTTTTCTTTACGTTGGCGTATTTATTGTGTGCATGTTTTTCTTTGTTCTGTTTTCTACGTTCTGCCCCACTTTAGTCTTCCCATGCTTCTGAATTCTTGATAGTTGATGTTTCTTATAGCACAATAATAGTCCATTATGTTTACTTAAGAATTTGTTCACCCTTTCCTCCTTCGATGGCGTGCGCGCAGGCGCGCACACATACACACACACACACACACACACACACACACACACACACACACACTTTGTTTCCAGTTCCTCATTACCACAAAAATTGGGGCTGTGGTATAGATGATGTCCGTGATCGCTATCTTACCTTGGCGGGGTGGGGGGTTGTGCCCAGATTAAAGGCCACGAACAGCTTATCTTTGTCCAAAACCAAACTGATTTCTAGAATGGCTGGACCGACCTGGCATCCCACCACTGGGACATCAGGGTATCTGTCTTCACAGACCCCTTAGGAATTCACTGTTGCCCTTGGCGATTCTCCTGAAACTATGTTATTCCTGTCGTCTGTTGTTAGCTCTTTGGGTGTGGGGTCAAACCTCTTGTGAAGGGTGTGGAGCATTGTTTGAGGCATGGTGGCTTTGGACTCACCGACCTTGACGGGCCCTTCTGATGTCCCATCACTGGTGCTTTGTGGCGTCTGGTTATTTTGCTTTTGTTCTGCAAACTGTCCCTATCCTTTGAACGCTAATCCACCAGGGAATGGCCCGGAGTCACCTCTATTTGTATCAATTCCTCTCTAGTTTGAACGGCGGACTTCTGTCAGGGTTATTTGATGCGTGTTCTCCCCCACTTGACTCCACTTGTGTTTTGAATGATTGGTCTTGGACTTGCCCCCTTTGAATATTGTGTCTCTGACCCCGCCAAGCTGTTCTGTCCAAGCTGCTTGTGTGCTCTCTTTGACTTCCTGTCAATAAAAAGAATCAGTGGTTTCTGTTGTTTAGAGTTTATGCTGGCAAGGAAGGAGATAGAGGAGAAATCGGCCTTTCTGGGCCCTGGGAGGCCAAGCTGCGCACACACTGATAGGTCCTAGCCCTGACCCTGCCATGAATGCTGCTTTTCCTCAAGGGGCCCCCCCAGAGTCAATCAAGGGCAGTCCCTCCTCTGGGGGGGACTTGGGGACATTACACTTTTCAAAACTTCCCCATTCCTTGTATTTAATTCTCACACCCGTGGAGATCCAGGTTCTACTGCTAGCTTCACAAATTAACGAATTAACTAACCCCGGATTGGGTCACGTGGCCTAGATTCAGGCATTGCTACCACAAAGGTGTTGGACAAGATGGGCATCTTGTGAAGAAGGCAAGGGTCACCATACGTGAGCAGAACCCATGCAAATGGGGACAAAATTTAGCCCCTTTCAAGTACTCAAAAACCTAGGAGCTGGGGCAGTTGAACAGAGTTGGGAAAAACTTCCACAAATGAGCAGGAGGGGCACCCTTCGTTGTATCTCTGCCTCCTGGAGCCGAGCCAGAAGAGGGTGATTCTGCTCTTACCCCCCCCCCCCCCCCCCGGCAGGCCAGCAGAGCCGAGGAAGGTCCTATAGTCCTACACGGAAGCCCAGAGAGGGTAAATAATGCCCGAAGCCACACAGACCGTGGAGACTTAAGTCGAGATTAGAGCCCCTGATCATCTGGCCTGTTCCCTCCCACTAGTCACTGTGGAACAGAACTAGTCGTGGGGCACGGGAGCTGTTGCTCTCAACTTGGGCTTAGTGATGGCATTGGCTAGGTAAGCCCGCCTTTTCTGCAGGGGTTCAGGGCATTTGACACCAAAAGCAGCCTCCCTGGAGCCCCCGAGTTAGGGGACATCATGGAAAGCGCCTGTTAATGGGAAGGACGGACGTGGCAAATTTGGTTAAGTCAGCCACTAAGCTTTGCTGTGGGGCTTCAGCGCTTCCTCTGGGGTCAGGGCAATGCAAAATTTGAAATCTTCGCCCTACCTTCCATAAAAACCACGACCTTCTATCTCTATAGCACATCACAGTTTATTGGGTGTTTTCCTATCCATCCTCTGAGAGGCACCGTGGTAAGAGACCTGGGCTCATGGTAAGAGACCTGGGCTCGGTAAGAATCCCTTCGACACCACACCCAGCTAGTGCTCCAGCCTTCGCTTGGAGGCATCTCACGAGGAAGCGTCCGAGATTCTGGGACTCTGGCCCCTGGCAAATGGGGCTTTGAGGGACCTGCTCCTTTCAAGCTTCTGGTGAGATAATGTCATATAATGTGCTTAGTAAACTTTACAGCATTGTAGAAATAGGGGCTGTGATTCTTAACCTTTCAGGTCTCAATATCCCCAAGAGAGGTAGAGGGGGTGGGGGGGGGGCATTTATTCCTGTTTCGTGGCTGAAGAAGCTGAGGCCCGGAGAGGTGACTTGGCCCAGGTCACAGGATCAGTGAGGCGGATCTGGGACTTCAGACCAACTTTCCTCCCAGCCCAGGGCTTTGCCAGTTGCCCCCTGCTTCCTCCCTTTCCTGTCTTCTCTTGTGGTATCGTCTCCCTCCTATGCCTCGGGTCCCTAGGAACACGGGAAGATCTGGGGGAGCTGGCTCTCAAATGCTGGCTGTCCATCATGTGTAAGAGGGATCAGACGTGAATGTGCTCCTGGCAGGCAGAACCAGGGGCAGTGGGTGAGTCTGAGAGACAGAGTTCCTTAGCCCTGACCCAGAGTGACGTGAGCTAGCTTGCCCATAGCCGGCTCCTCTCGAATGGTTGCCAAGCCCAGGCTCCACGTCCACTTGTGAGCCCTCGCTCATCATGGAGGGCATTCTTGGGGCCATGGGAGGTGGGACAGCTTGGAGGAGGCCCTCCAGCTCTGGTTCTGTAACTCAGGTTCTGTGAAGGAATGTCGACTAAGAACTGAGTACTTGAGTAGGCGGAAGAACGTGGGAGTTTGGGCTTGACCCAGCAAGGATGGAGAGGAGGC